CTGGGGCAGCAGTGGTGGTGGTTGTGCTACCTGGGGCAGCAGTAGTGGTAGTCGTAGTAGGGGAGACAGTGGTAGTCGTCGTAGTGGGGGCGACAGTGGTGGTGGTGGTAGTGGGGGCGACAGTGGTGGTGGTGGTAGTGGGGGCGACGGTGGTGGTCGTCGTAGTGGGTGCGACAGTGGTGGTCGTCGTAGTGGGGGCGACAGTGGTGGTTGTCGTAGTGGGGGCCACCGTTGTGGTGGCTAGGTTCTCACAATGTGTGATGACGGCTCCGATGTCCGTGAACAAATTCTTGCCCGCAGCATCGGTACAGCTTGCCAAAGCAGCCTTCGTGCTCGTAGCCAGCGCGACGCAGTCTGTGGAGGCACAGTAGTTGGTCGTGATCGTGTTGGTGGTCGTGATGTCCAGGAGGCTAAACGCATTCGTGTACCACCCAGAGCCAGCAGTCTTGGTCAATGCTGTCGCGCACGCCGCGTCGAGGTTTACGAGGTTCTTGGCCCACAAATTATCGGCAATGTTGCTCGCAGTACATGTCCCCGTGATGGCTCCGGTCAAGGCCGTGCAGGCCGCGGAAAACCCCGCGATCTCCGCTGTGTAACTCGTCGGCGTCGTGGGAGTGCACGTCGGGTACGTCGATGCAGCGATTTCTGCATTGCACGTCGTCGACCCGCACAACCCGTACGTGTAGATGGTGTTGGCGTTGGTTCGGTAATCGGCAAAGACAGTTTCGAGCGTCGGCGGAGTGCCACCTTCCAGGTCGTCAGTGCACGCTTGAGTCAACGTGACGGCGTTGGCGGTGATGACATCGGCGTCGCAGTCAGCGCGCGCCACAGAGACGGCCATGCTCAAAGCAGCAACAAGGTAAGTGAATTGCATGATGATTGGTAGCTGGGGAAGGTGTTTGGCTTGGCTGAGGCGAAAGGCAAAGTGAACTGCTTGCAGATACGCACGATGTCAAGCTATGTTTAGAGTGCAGCCATGATGGAGCTAAATGCGTAGCCAATGGATATCCTACTACCGACGAAATTCTGTGCATTTGCTGTTGAGCTTGTTCCCTTGGACATGACTTCATTTTAGTATCGAATTATGATGGCCAAATGTGATAGGTGAGACTAATTTCGGAGCTAAACCTACTGCCCCCATCTTGAAAAACGACACTACTAAGGGTAATGGTGGACACTTGGGACAAGTTGTGCACCGACTAATTCAATGCATTTATGTAACTTGAGCCATCAGCGGCACTCAAAGTTCTCTACACACTGTGTTTGGTTGTGGAGCGCACTTTATGCATGCACTCAAGCTTGGGCTGCAGAATGACCAGGATCGGCACCTGCTAATACAGTACACCTCTGACACACAAAAGTCAGTTAGTTTCAATTTCGGCGTAAAAATTACTACAGTGTGGCTGGCAACAATATAACAATCCTGCTTTAACGGGTGAATCAAAGATTTATACTGCAGCACCTTACCGAGGTATGCAATGTTGCAATCCACCGGTAGTTAGAACGTTCAATTCTTCACGGAATGTGCAAGCATCGTACAATTACTAGTCCACGAGCCCATAGACTACACCATGTCGCGTGCCAATATCAGGTGGCTTTTTCATGATATTTGTGCTGTTTGTTGTTTGTACTAACGTTACGTAGAAATTGAGGGCTTCCAAAACCATGGCCCATCTATAAGTAGCAAGGAGCGATCTCCTCGTCATCTATCTGTCGATGGGCTTTTCGCCAGCCTTCATCTGCCACATCTCAAGTGGAGAACTCGCGATCTCGTTAAAACTACCTGAAACAATGCCATGACGGCAATATACTGTACATCAGCTGTACACTACGGGCAACTGGTCTGGTGTCAGGTCCGGGTATGCTGTGCGAATGGTCTGCCTCATAAGGGAATGAATGTGGACGTTTCCGTTCGCATTCGGGTGCAGACCGTCGTAAAAGATGGTGCCGATCCTCGGCTGAAGCGCCGTCCACAGGTCTACCACGGGCACGTTGGCGCGCTTGGCCACATCGACCGCCGCCGCGGCGTACCTGCCCGTCTCGGCATTAGTTCGAGTGTCCTTCCACACGATGGACGTGTCGTCAAAGGGAGGCGGCGTCACCAACAACACGCGGCTGTGCATGAACGACGTTTGAAAGGCGCGGACGAGGGTGTTTAAGTTGGCTTTGTACTCGGGCAGCGGGACATGCGCCCATGCGTCCGCTCCAGTCGTGAGGCAAGCGTCGTTGGCTCCGAGGAAGAGGACGACCAGGGTCGGTGGCTTGGTCCTCCATTCCGCTAGAAGCGTCGGCAGAGCGAGAATCCACTTCCTGCATGGGATCTATATGTGAGGAGAATGACATACGATGTCAAATTCTACCGAGTAGTCCAGCCGCTGTTGCCGCGGTTGATCGTGTCTGCTTTACGCACGTAGTCTTTCTGAAAGAGCACTTGGAATCCCATGAGGTCGGGGTGGCTGCCCAATTCGGTGATAGAGTCCCCCACAAAGAGGAACGACGGCAATGAATGGGTAGTTGTGGTAGTCGTCGCCTTGAGGTCGACTGGCTGTGGAAACTCTGGCAGCAGTGGCCGAGGATAATACACCAAGGCGAGGCACGCCGCACAGAGCGATACGAGCGCAAGGCGCATAAGTCCCCGGGACCACGTGGAAGGTTGGCGCGAGGCTGCTCGAGGTGGTCGTTGCCTGCAATTGTCCATCGGAAACAACGATGCTTCCATGCAGAAATGCATCCAAATCAAAACTGAGTTCTAGTATGTACTAATAGTAGTACTGTAGGGCCTACTTTCACAGGATCAATACGTATTGCTAATATTAATAATAGTACTTATTATTAAATATACTTCGGAAGTATTAAATTGTACTAGTTCGAAGTACGTAGTATAATACTTCGAAGTATTAATAGTATTAATTACTATTAATACGTATTATTAATAATACTATTAATACTTCGAAGTATATGGTACTGATACAGACCGCCCAACGGAAAGTAGTGCTACCGTAAGTTACAGTAAGAAGTACTACAGGCCAAAACATAACTATACTATTAATAGTACTAGTACTAGTACTACCTACTACCCCGTCGCGCGCCTTGAATGAACTCGAGCACGGCGGTCGTACAATCGGGGGTGGCCATTTGGATCGAATACAGGACGCCGCGTCGAATCGACGGTCGAAAGTGCACCGCGCGAAAGAAATCCGGTTCTCGCGTCACATGATGCTGGTTCTGGTCGTCGTCGTCCGTGCTGCTGCTGTTGTTGTGCTGGGGGTCGTCCAGCACGGCCATCAATTCCTGGTCGTTCGCTTTCCTGTCGTAGCTCGTCCATCTCGGCCGTTTGGCGCTTCGCTGGGATGGATGGACCACAGGCTGGGTCGGGGGTTGCGTCTGCCACTGTGAGAACCCAGTAACAGCAGCAGGGGCTGGAACCATGGCGGACGAAGTCGATTGATTCCTCACTCGCTTGTTGCTTGCAATTTCGTGAGGACCCCGAAAATCTGGTGCGTCGTCTTTGGTTTCGTCGTCCCAGTCGTACCTATGTTTAGGAGCAAATATAGGGTCATGAAGAACGGCAAAGATATTGGACAAGAATATATATATTTTTATTACAGCAAACGACATTCAAGACAGCATGGAGTATTTCAAACAAGTAGTTATGTTTAGAATCCACACACATACTAGTTAGACGTATACATATACCCCCTTACGAATAATACACTCGAAAGCTAAGGGTGTCGTCTGGTAACCGGAAATATTGCAATATTCAGGCCCAAAACGCCATTTTGGGGCCAAATTCAACAAATCTGATCCAAATTGAAAGTACATATCTTGAAGAGTTTTAACCCAAGTCCCATATTTCCACGTGGGATGTACTCGTTCAAGTGGTCCAAAACGCCACATTACAAAATGAACCTTGTACCTCCATTTTCAAAATTGCATTTTGGTTAAAATCCCATTTTGCCAGAAAATGGAATAATATATTTTTGACATATTACCCGTAGTAATACTAGTACTTACAGTTAGCTTATACTTAACGTTAGGAGTGCAATAAAAAAATCCAATTACTATATAAAAAATGATACGTAATGTATGGCGTTGTAGAGGGTATGTTACCAGACGCACCCTAAAAAACGTATCAAAAACATCATAAAAGTAAAAAAGGTTATGGAAATATTGTACTTTCGAGTGAAATTTCATTTCATTGTGTTGTGGTTTCTCGTTGGAATTTAAATCGATTTGATTGGCTACTTCAGATGAGCTCAAAATTAATAACCAATCAAAACCCATTTCTCAATGAAATTCAACCAATCAGATCGATTGCGGATCGGTTTGGTTGGCGCGATTCGATTGCACCCCCTCCCCAAATTTGTATCAAATCGACAAAATATAAACCCTAGAGATATCATCACAAGAAGACATTTCAAACCACGGGGTCGTCCATTGCATAGAATACATGACAGGATTGATAGATTGGGAAAATGCCCACCGGGACGAGAATTGGGATCGGTTGCTCGTACTAGACGACGACGACATTGACGCTGTGGACTTCGTCCGGCGACGTAAGGCGGCCGTTCGAATGGGACTTTTCCTTGTCAACGCATCATGCGGTTCGTCTTCTACTTGGTTTGGGGACGGGATCAAGTTGGTGGCGTTGCCCAGGGGCTGCTTCTTGAAGCCGCTGCTCGTGGAATGGCCACTGGAAGTGGTCATAGGAGTGCCGGCGGACGCGTGCGGCGAGTTCTCCTTGTCTATACTGGATGGTACCGGTGTCGCATTGCGAGGGAGACGGGCGGGCGTCGAAGTGAGTCGTGGAGTTGGACTTGAGGAAGAGGCGGAGGATGAATCGGGGTCGACGATAAAGTTGTCGGGAAGGCTTTGGTGGCAAAAGGCATAGGGTCGAGCGGGGGAAGGTGCCGACGAGGCTTGGGTTGGGCCAGTCGTGGGGAGGTTGCTGGCTTCAACTACCGCTTGGTCAGTGATAATGTCGTGGGTTGGCGATGCAGTTGATGGAAGCATGGTGATGGACGAGGGGTCGGACGCAGTCGAGTGCGGAAGCGCAGCGGCGGGTGGCTGACTTTGAGAAGAGGGCGGAATGGGCACACTGCCGTTCTGGGCGATCAACTGCGAGTCGGTCATGTCCATGACGAGGCCTTCAAGCTGTCGCCACTGGTCGGATGGAATGATGCAGTCTTCTAACGTCAGTGGGTGCTGCTCGTGGAACATGTACGCGTGGTTGAATGTGTTGGTGGGATGCTGTTGATGGTGTGACGTGATTGGGGAGGCGATGCTGTGAGGAAGCAGGCGAGGTTCCAGACGCGCCAGCGGCATGTCCACGAGGGAGGCAACCGATGGATCATTGAGAACATGCGGGGATTCGTTCGGGGAGATGGACGGAACGTCGATGATCTCCATGCACGTGATGTGGAGGCAGATCCGACCCAAACTTGTCGTCGATTGAAAGGCCGTAGAAACGCGGCCAGTCGTCGAGAAATGACACACTTCCACACGCAAAACGCACCCGCGGAAGTCCTTCATGGCACGAATGTGTGGGTACATCCGATGGCATGCTTGCACGGACGTCGGCGGTAAGAACGCCCACATCGAGTGGGTGCCGTCATTGACAAGGACGGCATTTGTCTGCGGATCCACGCGAGACACAAGCACAATGTGTGGTCCCATCATCCCGTAGTTGGCTCCATCTCGCTCTCGTGTGTCCAGGACATCTTGGAGCGGGGCCGTCAGCACCGCATGCAGACTTGTCTTGAGGAACGGGGTCAACGCGCGCATGTGTCTCCTCCTGGGAACAAGCCGAAATGAGTTGTTGAATTCGGAAGTATTGTCTAAATAGGACTTTAGTTCCGAATTCAAGTGAAGTTTGAATTCAAATCCTGGAGATCTTATTGAATTTCAATTTCCCGCGTCAATATGATCGAATTGAAAAGTCTCCATCTCGATGAGGATGACATTTCGAGGAAGGTTGGGCCAATGTCTTGGCGAACATGGCGCACCTACATGGCATCGACGGCGGAACTATCGTGTGCGCTGTACGAAGAAGTAGTGGTGCAAGATGATGTTAATAGCTGGCGTTGTAGGAACTGTGGGGAGAAATTTCAAGATATCTGACCTTGAGAGATTGTGTGGATGACAAATCGCACACCCACGAGTTGTTGCCGCTGACCATCGCTATGTTTCGCAACTGGTTCGAGCGGTGACTTTTTAACCATTCAATGACCCCGAATACCCTTTGATTGGGGTACGAACTGCAGAGGTTGTAGTGGGCGGCGGTAGAAGGTTCCACATCGGTAACGGTGGTGAGACTGCCCCATGGATGGAGGTAAGGATACCTACCACCTGTATTAATAGGTCCACTTGTAAGCGCAGCAGCAAGTACTCTATTACCGCACGCTTGGTGCATGGACGAGGAGGGCTGTAACGCCGAGCGGTTTCAGAGTCGACCGCACCTGGCGCATGACCAACCCCATGAAGATACTATTGGAGAAGGCCAAGCAACGAAAGGACAGGATGTCTGTGGCCATACACTCTTCTCCTATCGCTATGGCTATCGGCACCACCACCACTACACTAGTGCCACGGAGCGAAAGCCACGTGACACAAACCATCACCAAGCTCAAGACGACCATCAAGTCGACGGTCCGTGCGGCGTTCACGCCGCGCTTGGCTCCTGCTCGACGAAATGTTTCCACCAGACAACGCCCTGCTGCTCCATCGTCCTCGAGTCCCCTTGAGCGCATGCTGCATAAAGCGTCCAAGACCACCGCTGCGGCATGCCGCGCCCTCACCACGGCGTTGCGCGTGCCCGACGCCATCGCTAAACCACTAGCCAAGTTCACGTCGTTAGCGCACAAGTACGTGTTTTCCAAGCTGCCGACGGTCAAGGTTCTGGATAAGTTGAAGCAATTCGCTAAGTTCTTTCTGTCTCACAGCGTCGCGTCGGCCGCCTTGCAGTAAGAGATACCCCCCCTCTTGATACCCCCTCCCCCCTCTTCGTCCATTAGTGATATAGCTGCCTCATGCTCTAGATCGGAACATGCCACGCGACTCGTCGAGCGATTCGTCCGGGGGTGGGTGGGCCGCGTCAAAGGGCGCATCGCCCTGCGCCACTACAAGGCGGCAGTCCACTCCGCCGTCACCACCAACATCATGCACCTGCTGGACGCTACTACCGCCCACGTCGCCTCCCAATTGCACCAAGCGTGGTACCTCAAACAAACCTACGCCGCCAACAGGATACAACATGCATGGAGACATGCATCATCTAGATGGGCGCTGGAAGCCCACGACACACACGCTGCGATACAGTACCTTCGTGAGACAGGGTTAGTGTGTACATATTGTCGTCCCCAATACTGACTGCTTGTCGAGAGACTTCTTGATGTTGAACGAGTTTTGAGTGTTGTACTGTGTGACTGCTCCATTTAGTTGTGTGTCCAATCTGTATGTGTAGTGGGGGGGGGTGTCAGAGTCATTGGTGTCGATCGAATGGTGGATGACTTTCTCAGAGAATATATTTATTTACATATATTGTATATATATGTACAAATCGGACTGGATCATCAGTTGCTGAGCAACAACGTCATCTCCATACACGACATTGAGTTGCATATCCACGTTAAATAGACGTCGCCTTGTCTGTCGCCGACAAGCAGAGTCCGTGGTGGCGACGGTGGTGATGGCAGGTCTCCAGATTATGGCCGTGCGGTTGATGCAGCGGTGGTGGCGCCGACGGTGTCGCCTCCGCCGTCTTGCAAAAGCCCGGCGACGGCGGCGGCGAACCAGACCACCGCAGAAGACACAGCAGCAGCACACATGCGACAGTCCAGGGCATCACCGTTCGTTTGGCATACACTCCAAACCACACTATTGTAGTACTATATCTTATACTGAGTAGAACGGGAGCTGGTTGTGGCGACGCTCAAGCGAGTGTGGGCCCGCGAGGACTTTGCCCCGAGCGTCCGTCCGTCGCGCCGACGGCACATGGTGGCGATCCCGCCGAGGCCAACGCTGGCGCCGCTGTCGTCCGTGACCCCGCCTCGGACCCACGGCGTGCGTAAAATGAACGTGAAAACGTGGCATCGGTACGTTTATTTCGAGTGGTTCTAGCTGTCCGTCATGCTTGCTGCTTGTGGTAGACTCCAAGGGTACGTCAACCCCAAGCAGTGCTGGGTCGCCATCCCCGTCCAAGTCCACCCCGCCACATCGACGACCTCGCTGGCGCCCCTTCGACACCGCCACTACCAGCTCGAGTATGACTGGATTCCTGGCCCCCTCCTGCAAGACCCCCCGACGCCGCCCCTCACATTTGAACAAAAATTGAAGAGATTCGACCAAGCACGACGGACCAACAAGGGCATGCAGACGAAGGACAGAGCTAACAAGAGTCCCAGTGAGCCTCGGTTGTGATAGAATGATAGCCAGCTAAATTTAACCACCCATGTATGATGGAAGGTATGCAGCAGACCCTGCATAAATGTATAGAGTATAAACTATTGTGGATTCGATACGAATTTCCAATCGAATATCTCGCCGCCGAATTGAATCACGTTAATCGACGCTATTGGCTAATCCATTTTTTGAGTGGATTTGATTGGCTCTTTCAGAAAGGACAAGTATATTCAACCAATCAGAACTCCAGCGTGCTTCAATCTTGCTTCGACAAACGAGGCGAATTTTGCAAGTTTATATAGCGAATCATCCACAATAATTTGTCTTGTTATTGTTGCCGGGGGGCAATTGTGATGCGCTCTTGGCCTGGCTGGATGCCCATGTCCGCCAAGAATTTTTGCATGCGCGCCGCTTCCGCATCCTACGCGTCCATCCGAGTTCATTAACATATATATATGTTTAGATAGATTCGATACGACTTTTCATCCATAGTAGTATATATTTCCACAGAAATAAATCTATATACTAGAAAAATATTTTTTATTCTGAAGTTTCATAAACTATAATATGTATCATGGGACATCGAAAGTCCGAAACGTGGTCAAGTGAATAAATCCAAGTGGTTGTGAATATTATTACCTTGGCGGCGGTCACGCGTTGGTTCATTTCTTCGGCGCGGCGGCCTTGCGCTTGTTTGCGGCGCTGGACGCGCGCTTGGAAGTCGTCGGAGCCGCCCATGAGGAAGTCCTCGCTCAGGGTCAACCCGTCCTTGGCGTCATCCTTCTGCCGCGCCGCACCATGGACGGCCGCGCCGACTTGGCGCTTCTTTTCGATCGCTGCGTCTCTAATAGTATACATTCGACTTTATTGTAAACAATTTTGGCCATAAAAGCCATATCATAAGACAACTTGACCGATTTAAACTATATATAGTCATTACTCGGTTCGTAAGTGGAGTAATCGCCAGAAACGTTAGAATTGAATTGATTTAAGAGGAATAACCTAGCCAATCATCCAATCACGTTTTGTAGATTGCTGGCCAATAGAATTCGGTTTGTCCCTTGGCCGTGGCAAACACCTTATATAAACACTCTTCAATACTGTATAGTATAGTTTATACAAGCATAAATCGGGGCAACTCAATTTGAAAGCTACGTAATTTATAAATTAAACGCAACACGTCCAAATTGAATGTGAAAACGAGTCAATACATACTACAGTGCCATACTGAAAGTAAGTTATTTTTCTTCTCTTTCAAACGAATATCGCATCCTAGTATCTCGAATAGGACTACTATTCGCCAAGAAACAGGAATGAATGTACTTGCAAATAAACAGGAATGAATGTACTGAACTACCTGCCCGTGGCTTTGGGGGCCAACTCTTCGTGCACCATGTCCTTGTGCTTGTTGTACGCTTTGCGGTCGCGCTTGGCGCGCTTGCGGTCGTCGTCGGAATCATCCACCTCCCGCGGGGAGGATGCGGGTTGCTTCGGAGTGGCTCTAGAAGTTGCTGTGGAGTGGGATGGGAGTGCAGGACGTGCACTTGTCGTTTCTTTATTGGTCGAGATGTCGACCGTGTCCTTGGTCGACGCTAGTTCCAGCCGCTCGTGGTCGTTCATCTTGAAGCCCCACTTGTGCTTGGTGCGGTGCACACTCTCTAGAACTTGCTGCGGAATTTTCGTGTAGTACATGGACTCCAACCGGTTCGCATTCCACTTGCTCACAAACTTTTCAAACGCCGCCTGGGCGTCGGCCGACGTCAAGTCGTCAAAGTACACACCCTTTTCAAGCTTGAGCCACACCCGAAACTCCTTGGCCTTCTGAAAGTAGTCGTCGACTGTGAGCGTTGTCTCTACCCACATCAGCATCGTTGGTCTGGAAGCGAAGGAGCATTCCGACACCGCGAGCACCGCCTACCTGGGCCATCCTGTCGGGACTTCTTGTGCTTCTTATGCTTCTTGTGAGAGCTCTTCTTGGCCTTCTTCGACTCTAACATGCATCATCTCTCAGCCGCATTCATGGACAGAGGGCGAAGGGACCTTTGCGGTCGTCGGCGTTGTCTCGGCATCGCTTGCTCATCTAGCTTGTGGTGAATGTATGACCAACACTCTTGTACATCTTTATAATTATTTATCCGGAAATGGCCTCCCGTGGAAGTAAATACACCCAGAATGTAGGTTTTTCCACTGATTAATCGTTATTAACTAGTAGTTACTCGCCTTTTTGGAGGCGCATCTTCATAATGTGCCCAAACCGTTGGACCTTTTGCATCTTTTGGAGGCTTGAGCCGAGGCCCGTGGACTGATGCCGAGCACCGAGGATATCGTGGAGCGCTTCCATCTTCTGCTCGAGGGTGGTGCTGCTTTTGAGCCTAAAAATGTGCATCAACAACTACTACGTAGTAATCAGGCGTTAGTTGGTACGTGTAAGCTTCGTCGTCGATCGCTTTCATGTCAGAGTCCTTCTCCGCCACTTTCATGCCCATGTGCGAGCAAACGAGCTGGTGAAGTCGTTGGCCTTGCTGCTGTTCAACCATCCACTTGGGCGCCTGTGAACAGCACCTGAGGACTTGTATAGTATGTAGTAGTAGTACTTCGTGGGGCGCAAGGACAGGAGCCACCGCCGCCGGCTGCTGCTGGATCGCATGTAGTTCCTTCTTGTGCACGGCCAGGTTGTGACGATCTTGGGACTTGCGCATTTGAACACACCAGTCGGTCGCGTCTTCAAAGTAGATCCATTCGTACATGGGCACCACGCACAACAACGCTTGGTCGCTCAGTTCGTTGGGAAACCTAACTCATATTAATATTACAACAACATATGATACACTTTTCGTTTGAGCAGGGGTTTTGGAGGCTCAATATATATATATATAATATGTACGAGTATACTCTTGAAAGTTAATATAAATATTGTGGATTCGATACGAAGTTCCAGACCCTGCCGAATCAAATCACGAATCGACGCGATTGGCTAATCCATTTTTTTGAGTGGATTTGATTGGCTCTTACAGAAAGGACAAGTTTAGTCAGCCAATCAGAACTCCAGCGTGATTTAATATTGATTACACAAATCGCGCGCATTTTGGAAAGTTATAGCGAATTCACAATAACCTCCTAGACTATATATATATATTAACTATACGAGATTTATATATATATATTACACCCGAAACACCTATACTACAGTAACTACCCTGATAGTCTCTATATAGATATACATTTGATGAAAGAAGTACCCGTGTTCGGCAAACGCAGTGGCGTCGGCTTCCGTGGGAAAGCACCCGTACACACACAAGCTGGGCTCGGTGCCGTCGCCCACAATTAGTGTGGAAATGCACGCGAAGTTGCAGGACGATTGCTTGAGCTCGAGCGGCATGTGGTTGTGCTCAATATCTTGCAATTGCAGCGTCGTCGTTGGAGTCTTTTTCTACAAGTGTGATCGTCCACAACACAAAAATATAATTAAACGTTTTGGATGATCTATATTTCGTTCAATGACACATGGATATTGGCATTTGATTACAATATATATATATATCCCCGTATTACCTTGAACGAGTCGTTCGGATTGCAAGTCGTCGGAGGGGATGTGGTGGTGGCGGGTACTAGGTGCAGGCACTCCAAGTGCCCACACAGATCGTGCATGATCCTTGCGATAGCGTGCGACGACATGGTGCCGCCCATGTCTTGGTGGCCTCCTACACTCCAAGTTCGACTTTCATGGCGATAATGATGGTCACATGTTACCTGTTGGGGACTGGGTGAGCTGGCAAAAGGACGCGTGGAGTTTGTTGAGGTTGCCGTGGTCGTGCAGGTATTCGTGCAGCCGTTGGTTACAATACTGCGGCGACATGAGCCGGTCCATCGAAGGCGGAACAAGCGCATGTTTGTCCGTCTCGATGACAAAGAACTCGACGGGGTGGGGGTCCGCCTTGAACGACCGGTACGAATGTGAGTTTTCATGGGCTTCAATCTGGGCCGCTCGGTCACGGGCGTCGGCGGAAGTTGCAAAATGGCCGACCAATCGAAACGCGGGCTGGGGGGACACCGGGTGCAGCTCTACCCACACTCGGTGTATTATATATAACCCTCAAACATATATATTGTTTGACTAGCTAGAGATAGATGGACGACTGACTACCTTGGCTAGCAATGTTGACAATTACAAACCCGTGGTGACTGTGCAAACGCGGTGGCGCTGATGCTACTACTACTGCTGATGTTGATGACGTGGCAGCCTTAGACGACGACCCCTTCGTCAACAAGTCGCCGCGTGATTTTTTATGCCGTCGTGGCGAAGACGGAATCGAAAAGATGAAATTCTCTGCCACCGAGTCTGTGGGGTGAATAATGTCTTCGAAATGATCCTTCTGTGACGACGTTGAGGTCAACGCCAGTGGAGCTACAATATATCAAATATATATATATATATATATATGATTGGCCATACCCAAGTACTCCAAGTACACCATGGGGTTGCCTTCGTCGAGCGTGTTTCTCGCGGCTTTGCTGTGATTCTCCAGCACGTGTCGTAGCAACGCCGGTCTGTCCTGGGTTGTAATCTCGGGGTTGTAGTTTAGCGTGTAACTGGCGAGGGTCTTGACCGGTGGAGTCGGTTTCACAGGACTGAGCAGCAGCAACTCGTTGCCTTCGATCAACGGCGCGTGCTGCATGTGGCCACGCTACACGACCGACAGATGCCCCTAATCCTAGTCGACATGCGATGATAAGGCACTGTACCTGGTAGAGTGATGACGTCGTCGCAGGTGCTGCTTTCGTGGGCTTGACGTAGCGACCCGATGTCGGCAGTATCTTGTTCAATCGATCTGTATGCACTTCGTCGTGTACGACCTACGTGGTACCCATATATGCACGTGGTCAATATAACGATTAATAGTAGTACTACCGCGTCTACTAGTAATAACTACGAACGAACTTTAGCTTTGAACTGGTTCCATTTGAGAGTTTTGTACAGCTGATCAAACACCACCACAGGGTGCTTGTGGCGATGCGTGTGGCCGCGCAGGGTCTCGCGCGCCGTGCGGGACAGCCGGTTGAACACATCGTACTTGGAAAGGGCGAGGACCTAATACCCCACAGATATATCAATCAGTCGATGTTTTTCATTCAGATATATATATAAATTAGATTTATTGCCCGTAATGCGTTGTAGGGCACAAACAACAACGTACTTCGATAGGCGTATTGGCCGTCGCGGTTTCACTGCGAATCACAGGTTCGTTAAAGTTCTTCCCCGTGGCGCTAATATAAGTAGCCACCGTCAACCACAAGATCCTGTAGTGCCTGAAGGTGTATAATATATATATATATATATATATATATACCCAATACACTACGGGCCACTCTGGCTGCGATAAAAAATTGTCAGAAAACTCCAATTTTCGCAACTTTTGAGAGATATTACGACACATTTCTTCCAACGACAGGTTTTGTCTGTGTTTGGCTACCAAATCTGACATATATAAATTAACATAATACGTCGAATTTTCACTGTTTTCAGACAGAAACAAGTTTCATCTGCAACTGCCCAACCTTTTTTTTACCTACTCCTGATATTTACACATGATATTTCAGCAAAGGGTCTCTCATTCCATCATGGCATCCACAGGTCAGATCAAAATATTTTGCAAATATTTTTTTTTCTCACGTCCCCTTTGAAAAGGGAAGGCTCTGTCAGAATATTATTTGATATCAAATTATCTGTGGCATCCCGACTCGCTTTAATAATCACAATGACAATATATATTGTGGATTCGATACAAATTTCCAGACCCCGTGGAATAATCGAATATCTCGCCACCGAAACGAATCACGATGAATCGACGCTATTGAATAATGCAATTTTGAGTTAATTTGATTGGCTCTTAAAGAATGGACAAGTAAGTATATTCAACCAATCAGAACCCCAGAGTGATTCAATATTGATATATAAACCATGGGGGTTTTGGACATTTATAGCGAATCCACAATATAACACGTACGCGTCGTCGCCGAGGACGTTGAACGGCCCGAGCCGGTCGACCACGACCAAGTGCTCCTTGTGGGACTTGGGATCGACCACCGACTTGGAAATAATCACTTCACCCCGCGTGAGAAAGTACAAGTGCACGGCTTTATCTCCTGTAGTTGTTTGCGGCGTTGGTCTGCCTCTTGGGCTGCAATATAATTGGTGTACGTACCTTGTTTATACAAGGCCGTGCCCGCGGCCAGCCGTTGCTCCATGAGCACATAGCTCAGCTCTTGCATGATTTCCGACGTCCACTCGACCGACTGAAAGATCGGAATCTTGTCCAGCAACGCCATCCGTTTCTGCATGTCTTCTTTTTGCAGCTTTTTCAAAATCGAGTTGTAGTCCTTTTCGGCAATGATGAGCAATTCGCATGAATGGGTCGACACGACCGTGGCGCTGCGGAGCCCGTCCTCTAGTACATCATATATTTGCGTATATTTTCACCAATAAATATATATATTACCATATATTCAACGATATGTCATATATATAAGCATATATTCAACATATGCGTACTATTAAACGATATATATGCGTATATTCAACGATACATATACTAGTATATAAGCATATATATTCAACGACGTGTGCTATTAAACGATATATATGCATATATTCAACGATACATATTTACATAGCTATGGTAATATATATATATATTTACATATATATTACCATAGCTTCAACGACATATATGCGTATGTTCAAGGATACATATATATGCATACTTTTCATCAGCGCCAAGTCCCCAAAGTGGCTGCCTTCGCCAAGGTTGACCAATTTAGTCTGCACGGTGCCACCGCGCTGGTCCACGGCGCTGATCTTGACATCCACGGCGCCGCTGAGGATGACGTAAAACAGTTTGCCGATCTCTCCTTCGCGGAATATGGTCGTGTTGGCGTCGACGTTGATGAGGTCGATGATCGTGCACAGCTCCTGGACAAATGTCTTGGGCAGACCTCGAAAGAACTTGAGCGTTTGGAGAAACGTCGCGAGGGTCACCAGGTCCGTCTTGGACCGGGTCGACGGCTTCTTCTTCAAAATCTTGATGTACGTGTCGTGGGTGTTGAGCAGCACCTACATATAATATTGTCAAGTCGATATATTTGAAATTGGAGTGTTTGGGTGCTCAATCGAATGCGCAAAATAGCCAAATCGACAGACAATCGATATACGACCAATCAAAACACACAACACGATTCAAATAGCCAATCAAATTCACTCTTGGACCATTTCAACATTGAATTAGTATGTTACTGAAATTAGTGTGACACTGGACGAGTTTTACATATAAGAGTCAGAACAAACAATCGATCGATAGATTTGGCGAATCAGCACAAAAGTCCATTTTTGAGTAAAAGGACAATATATATATATATATATCGACAGCATCCACGAAATCTCGGTCGTTGAATGAAACATTTAAGGAATTATAATTAATTATTCAATTAATATTTCATCCATTCATGGGGATAATAAAAAAAGAATGTGTTTTGCTCATTCGACTGTTTACCTGGGACAACCGGCGGCTACCCGCTACCGCCGCTTTTTGCAGAAATGCTTGCTGGTCTTGCTTGAGCATTACGTCGTAGTCATCTCGGCAGATAGACACCAATTCCGTCGCTGTTTTCGTCACGATCGTGGCTACATGACATGAGATTGACAAATATATATATATATATCCACACAACGATGTATGTATGTCTGTGAAATGAGGACGAACCCGCGCGAGGTTCATTGTTGAGGAGAGATCGCTCGCCAAAGAATTCCCCTGCAAATATAAGGTAAAGACCGAATGAGGTGTACACAAGTACAAAAAGGGTAGGGGACTACAGTACCCTTGTTCATTTCACACACGACCACTTCGATAAAGTCGCCCATGATCTTTTGGTTGACTCGAACCTCGACCTTGCCTGGATTTCACATATATGTATATATTATATATATGTAGGTTAGTTGCTCGATCAGCCACTACGTTGCTTGGACGGCAACTCATCATTTTCGACGTGGATAGTGTACCTGAAAACACAATGTACAGTGCATCGCCTTCGTCGCCCTGTACGTTTTACCATCTCGTGAATCGAATGAAACACCCATCTATGTACTATCTCTAGTATGAATGATACCTGTTTGAACACGACTTCGTTGGGGTAGTACGCGTGCAATTTCATGCGTCGACAGAGCAACGTCAACTAGGTAGTAGGCACATACGGCTGAGATCGGGATGGCGTGGCCGTTTGGTCTGTTGGGTAGTAGTACCTCCATGGCCTGCAACGACTCGAAATCGGTGCACGTTTTGAGTTTGGTTTTCTGGAACCACGTGCGCAGCGCTTGGAGGTCGGAAGTGGATCGGTTCTCAGCATCTCGGCAGAACGCCGCGCGGCACGACTCTGCGAGGACGAGGTTGCGGCCGTAGTCTGGCTGGCTGGCTTCCTTCTTCCGCGCTTCCACCGCCGCGCCATGCTAGTCCGCATATAGAGCATCATGTTCATGCAAATGAGATGATGAGCGTACGTCATCGTCGTTGGTACTTCCGCCTTCGGAAGACGTCTCTTGGTTGCTGCTTTCCATGTCCGCCATGGACGACGATCCGTTCACTTTGGACCATTTCCGCATCGCTGCCGATTGCGGAAGCGGTCTGACGGAGGTGCCGGCACGGCCGGAGAACCTGTCGACGTATAGCTTGACTTTGGGGCTTTGTAGCAGTGCTCGAAGTGACTGCTTGCTGTTGTCAATTGTGTCGTTGGTTATGGAGTCGTGTTCATGGGATGCCAGGGCCAATTCTGGAAAAGAATCCACTGTATAGACGCTGGAGGGCAATTACAGGGGTGGGAGTACCTTCCTGCGGTGCCTTTAACATAGCCTTGCGTACGACAGAGGACCAAATGTTGCCGTTTTGAGATACGGTGTGGTTAAATATGAGCGGCGGTGAAGCCGCGGGCGATGGAACTGCGCTAGGTCTCTGCGGAGGTGCAGCTATGGGTGCTAGCTTTACAGATGACGGCGTGTGCAGCGGGATCGACGAGGGTATCTCTGGAACGATGGAGTTGACGGGCTTGTCTGTGAAAAGGCGAGTCACTTGAGCCCGCAACAGCACATTCTTGATCGTAAGTTGAAGTCGCTTCTTCTCCATCGGTGGAGTGCCGGCGGCTGTCGGAGGCTCAGCCGGCTCAAGTTCATCTCCTTCTTCCAGCGCTCCTAAAATGGGTCGCTTGGGTTTCCTCAGCGCCGCCATGATGATTGTGCCCGCGACGCGGCCGTTGGCTAGAATTGCCAGGCTGAAACGCTCGCCAGTTTCAGGTGTGCATTATCCGGATAGCACCGGATACAATTGTCTAGGATTGGCTGGATTGGATAACATATCCACCAATGGTATGCAGCATTGGAATTCATGCATCAGCGAATTCATCGGACGATGTCGAGCGGGCAGAAGGTTGGGGCGGCGGTGTTCTCGTCCATCGTGGTGGGAACGGCCAGCATGGGCGTGTGGCAGGTAGAGTTGATCACTATGCATGAAGCCCAATGCGTATAAGATACGGTAGACGAACCGGTACTTTTGGAAACTCGACGTGATCGAACAGCGCAAGAAACGACTTGACGAGCCGGTGGTAACCTTACCCAGCGACGTCACGGCTGCGACTGTGGCCGACGACCTAGAGTTCCGACCTTTGAAACTCGACGGCATCTTTGTCCCTGGCTCGACGTTCTACCTATGTAATGGCGTATACTGCATCGCACACATCTCACGTCACAGTAGACCCACGCTCCCCACCCATTGACATGCAAGACACCAAAGGAGGTCGTGTCTCGTCGGGCGGGTACATCTACCAACTCTTCCAACGCCAGAATGGAACATCGGTCATGGTCAATCGTGGATGGTTGCCCAAAGCCGACATGGAAGCGCACAGGGATGCCGCCCCGTCTCCCGCCTCGTCCAAGGTAGAGACGATCGTCGGGCTCCTGGTGCAGGGCGAAGAGGTTCGAATGGTTTTGCTGTTGTTTATAAAACGTCTGCTACATATAATCTGAATATTTTTTTACCTAGGAAAAAACCTTTTCGCCCCCCAACGAGCCGGAAAAACGTCATTTTTTTTGGCTCAACCAACCGCAGTTGGCACACGCGATGGGCGCGACTGAGTACGTGCCCGTGCTGGTCGACCAAGTGGCGCCCGACGACGACACGGAGCGACCGGCGGGTGAACCCTGTCGCAAGGCCAAGCAAAACTACCTTGAATTCTACATGACACCGTGGAAACACGCCACGTATGCCGGGATTTGGTACGCAACTAACTGTTAATCATCCTCGGCTATTTGACGAGTCCGAGTAGGTTCACGCTGGCCATTTTGGGCACGGGAATGGTGGTCACGCGCTTTCGACCGGCGGCGACTCGCCGCGTCAAGCCTGTGCATAGATAATGTTAGCAAACGTTTGTAAGTCAAATCAATCCTATTCAAATGCATTGCTTTCTATTAATATAAGGTTAAATGTTAGAGATAGCTCTGCCAGCATAAAAATACGGCGATTTCTACATATTAATGATTCATAGTCAAACTACTCAAATGCTACTACGTAGTATTAATATTAATAGTATATATTTATGGGGAAGGGTTTGCATTGGTAGAAAATATATGATTGCCTCAATTGGATTGGTCCAATAGTCATAAAATTGACCAATGAAACAGGCCGCTGACAACCGATATTTTCCTACACATCTCACTCAAGTAACGTTTAGCAGAAGTGATGGCCGATTCCGTCTCCGTCGACGACGTGAGTGTCCAGGTAGCAGACAACGACGGTGCTTCCTCCGAGCACTTTAATGAAGGGACGAGCGAAGGGCGTGTGGATGTTGGCATCCATCCGTTGGTGTTGATGAACCTGTGCGATCACTGGACTCGCGTGCACGCTGCGGCCTCACTGACGGGTCCTCCGACCGCCAAACCAGTCGTTGGCGCATTGTTTGGCATTCAAAAGGGGCGCGAGATTGAGGTCATCGACTCCTTCGAGCTTCCGTCGGCGCACGAACTGAGTGTGTCAGACTCGAACCTGTCGTTGAAGGCGTTCTTGACGCAGCGCACGGAGCAGTTTGCGACCGTGTTCCCTGGCTTCGAGTTCCTCGGGTGGTATGCCGTGCAAGACAAGATCCACGCTTCTGACCTGGCCACACATCGCATGGTCTGCATGTTTCCCCTATCCTTCCTCATGCATGTTGTCTAGTTGATGGAGTTCAATGAGTCACCCCTCTTCCTTGTGTTGGACCCCACGCCTCCGCCCGCACAACCCAAGGATCATGCCAAGGTCAAGCTTCCTCTGGCCCTCTACGAGTCCGAGCTGCATGTCGTGAACAACGCACCGACCATGCTGTTTGTCAAAACGCCGTTCAAAGTCACCACCACCGAGTCGGAAGGCATTGCGCTGGACCACATTTCCAAGGTCGCCCCCACCAATGCCACCGCACAATCGTCCTGTACGTTCCCCCGCTTCTACACGAGCCCATCACTCGACCATATATATCGTTTGCCTTTTACGCTGTAACAATACGTGTCCTTGATTTAACAATACGTGTCCTTGATTTAACGATACGTGTCCTTGATTTAACGATACATGTCCTTGATTTAACGATACGTGACCTTGATTTAACAATAAGTGTCCTTGATTTAACAATACGTGTCCTTGATTTAATTCTCCGTATCCATATCGAGGCCGTTTTTTACCAAATCACGACCCTGTTTTAACAAATCGTGACCAACTTTGAACGCATAGTGCATGGCAGTTTGGGGTCGCTTCGGGACGCCACGCACATGCTGGACAAACAATTGGGCGTGCTGCGGCGGTTTTTGGAGGCGACCAAGAACGGTACGCTCGAGTTGTCCACCATGAATTAGTGTGAGTTTTTCTCTTTCGTCGGTAGGCGAGATTCCAGTGGACCATGCGTTGCTGCGACAGGTTGCGAGCAGTTGCCAGCAACTCCCCGCGATGAAATCTGCCTTGTTTGACGCGTCTTTTGCTCAGGTATTATTGTTGTTCTTGTCCTATTGTATTAAAATGGTGGTAGGAATACAATGACACGCTGCTGGTGACGTATTTGGCGACGTTGACCAAGGGCATGGCGTGCACGAACGCTGTTTTGGACAAGTTTACAATCGCCCAAGAGCGTCCGGCGCGCTCGTTTATGATGTAGACATACATTGTAAACGAACGACGTTCATTCTGGTTAAACACGAACTGCATATACCCTTTGTGTATTCCATTGGATTTGGAATGTGCACTACCAAAGCACTTGTATTTCGTACTAGTTTAATGGTATCGATATTGTGAATTCGCTTTAAACTAATTCGAATGGTTGCTCTAATCAATATTGAATCACACTGGAGTTCTGATTGGTTGAATATACTTTCCTTTCTGCAAGAGCCAATCATCAAAGCCACTCAAAAATAGATTAGCCAATAGCGTCGATTAACGTGATTTGATTCGGCGGCGAGATTCGATTCAACGGGGCTTGGAAAATCCACAATACATACCTCAACGTTGTTGAAATCGACCAATTATACTAGTATTTATTGTACTAGTATTTATTGTACTTTTTTACTCATACTTAGGGACGACTACTACCAGTAGAATCCATCAAAGACTAGTACATCACGTTCAAGTCGAAGCAAACTGGGGGTGATTAATGTGTTGGTTGGCCGTCGTCGAGCATCCCATATCGGACGTTTTGAGTTGTGACTCATAGGATATAATATCGAATGCAATAGGAATAGTAGTGCTTATGTTAGGTTCACAGTAGTACACTGACACGCAAGAAGATTGTGGCCCCTAACTTACTATAATATGCATGCACAAGCCATATATCGTACATGCGTTCCAACTATGGCAACATGTCATACTAGTAATGTTATATAGGCGACTTTGTTGTAGAATATATTGTCAAGTCGATTCGAAATTGCCTAATATGTAGTATTGGCGTTTTACCCAAAATATTTGGACTTCTGTGCTGACCTGGTCTTGATACTCGACTTAAGCCCAGAAATCACTTGAGCCGGATAGTGTAGTGCTCATAGCGCAGTTCTTTGGCATCCCAGACCGTATCGAGCAAGCGAAGACCGTCCGGGAGGGTCTCCACGGGCACAATCGTCGTGTCGAAGGGTGGGGCGAGCAGCAGCTCTCGCAGTCGCCCCACTCCAAATCGACTGTGGCCGGTCGCATTCACCAAGTACGCCACGCCTACGTTTGTATTCAGGACGACATCACTTCACAAAGAGAGAGTGATCGTATGAGCCAGTCGATTGGCCAAATCCATCGATCGATTAACGGTACGCATCGATTCAGTGACCAGCACCTTCGAAAGTAGAAACCCCAACTTAACTATGATCATCACCGTACCGGATGTCGACAATCGGGTTCGAATGACATTGGCAAAGCCTTCTGCCGTCGTGGGATCGCAAATGATGTCGCTCGCAATGACTAGATCCACCTTGGCCTGTTCATTCGTCTAACCACCACTCAATCGATTAGAAATCGACCATCTACTTTTCCACAACTCCACATAACAAGGTACCTTGTCCAAGTGGTCCCAGTCCAAATGCTCCACCGTAGTGCCCATCGTTTGATTCAGCATGACGTTGTACGCTAGCGCTTTGAGCGTGTCTTGCTGGTAGTCGGTTAGGATCGTTCGGAGGCTGTACGCTCCGGCCACGATGCCGCTGAGTCCGAGGCCACTGCCCACTTCCAGCACGCTCTTGCCGTCAAACAGCTCGCTAAGCAGTGCACCAAAACACATGAGGCATCGTTAGCCATCGTATATGGATGGTAGAGGATTGTACCGATGCAAGTGGATCCAGCGAGCCAAAATCACCGCCGCACCCCACAATAGGTACCCAGTCTTGGGCTGCCCCGTCATGCGACGCTTCACCGCTCGGATCAGCACGACGGGGACGTCGGCATCCCGGGCGTCGCGCGGCAGCGCTTGGAGCTGCGGCCACGGACGAGTCGGTGGCTCCAACGGCAGCGTTCTGATGAAATGTTTGTGTTAGGTGATGGCGGTGTGCGACGAGGTTAAACGACAAAACTTGTACGTGTAAGGAAACGAGATGTTGATGCCAGTCGTGTTGCAGTTGTGCGTGGCGCAGGTGACTACAACCTCCGACGCTGCCTAGAGGGAGCAATAGACTTCTGTTTAGGATGATCGAGGCAGGATTGGTTATACAGTACGTCGGAGATGAGTTCGTTGTCGTGGAGGAGGAGTTTGAGCAACAAGGTGTGCCACCCCAATTGCGCTACAAGGTGAACACTCGTACAGTCGTTTTACTCGAAAACACGAAACTGCATGTACGTACCAGCGTGCACGGCGTTGTCTTCGTCTTTCATGACCTTCGCCACGATCGACAAAACCTGTAGCTCGATGTTCAACTCGATGGATGGAGCTGGCAACAAGAGGCCATGCCACGTACTTGTTCTGCCGCGCCAACTTCGTCGTCGCTTGGCGCAATGGACTTGGTGAAAGCACCTACCTTTGCCATCGCAAACTCCAAGAACCCGGCTAGTACATCAACATTTGACGACGATGGACATGCAGAGAGGACTATTGCATACCCACGCCGAGGAAGCAACGTCCCATGGGCTCACTAGCGATGGACTCAAGCGCGTTGAGCGCATTGGTCGCCAAGGCATCTTGGATGACCGCGACAAGGCCACGCAGTTCACCCTCGGTCTTCAAGGTCATGGTGGACACCGTTAGGTTACAGTATCACTTCCACCCATCAATCACAGCGTTCAATATAGTTCAATACACCATGAACCAATCAGAGTGTCCTATTTGTATTCGACCAATCAAACAATTTAAACTGATTTTCAATGAAACAAAATAGATTTTGAATAATTTACAGATTGTTAAACCATGGTGCAACGGCAGCGGATGGCCCTCCCAACGGCTGCGCGAGTCACGCCACACGTTTGACACCACCCCCACAACCCACACCTCGTCAAGCACGCATCATGGACGCGGCCAACGCTCGGTCCTTACGTCGCCGATGAAGTCCATCGTCGCTCTCACCTTCGTTTCTCCTGGACTGCAACGAGGTCGTGGCGCGACGCCAGTCTCGAGTTGCAGTGATCAAAGTCCCAACCATCACATCGTCGAATGAAAGAAAGGCTGCCTTTGAGCGCATCCGAAAGATGCCATCATGGACCGAGCGAGCAGCATTTGTGATGAGCCAAAGGCGACGGCGGCACCAGCGGCGCAAGGGCCATCGCCACCACCGCGATGTATCTCCAGTTTTGGAGTCCATCGACGTCTTCTTGTCGAATGAGGACGAGCCCTTAGAAGCCGAAGAGCAACCCCCCTTCCTGCCCGACATCGACACCCTCGTCAGTCGAAGGCGCATCCGACAAACGCACAAAGCGTGGGTGCAAATTGACCCGCTCCAAGTCATGTTTACTGACTTTTATAAAATGATGGAAGGGTGACCAGACTCTCCTTTTCGTAATACAAGACAGCCCCGTAGCCCATCGTGTTGCTCTCGGCAGAGCGCAACGAACTCGAAGCTTGGGTTGTGAACACAAGGACACATATGCAACGAAGGCGCGAGCATCCTTCCTCGCACTGTGGACGGGCTTAACTTTTGGGTATAAATACAGGAAGTTACTCCGGAGTATAACGCTAATGTACGACACTAAAATTTAGCACCACGACGAATCGAATTGGCCAACCATTTATTTATATTGGACTTGTGAATCGACAACAACTCTATTCGTCCTACCACTGTAACCTTATGCTAAATAAAATACACTACTGTCCTTATGCTGTAGTTTTAAAAATGAACATTCATACTAACAGTATGTATGTAACAAAATAAATTGCGAGTCAAGCGATTAAAATACTATTATAGTATTTATAATACCTATATATATATATATATATATATATATATATATATATATATATATTACTTAATTGAATTTCGTATAAAAATCGAGTCGACGTGCAGAAATATCATAGCTGCGGGCGAAGTTTACACGGTGATGAAAATCCCCTTTTTGTGCATCCAAAGGGCAATCAAGGTCCAGCTACAAACCCAACGTTACTCCACAACCATGACGCCACAGACGAACGACTTACCAAATCGCGCCGCCAGCGTTGCTCAGCACCCGCTGGGTCTTGGATTCGTCGTCAATATCCCAGCCAAATGGAACGTGCTGGCCCATCACTTCATGCTACACACGCGCTCCCAATGAGTTTACACATTGCAAACAAATAGAAATATAAAACAAGCATCCTTCATTCCTTACCCCCACATAGAGTGCAATCGCATTCATGCCATTTTGCATAAACGGCATGCCCCTCCAGATCACAAACTTGTCCACGGCAGCATACAGCAGCGCCAAGCTCAAACTCGCGAGGCCAGCGACCGTGAGCACAAACGACAGGCTCCACATTTGCTTGTTGATCGGAATGGGACCGTCCACGACAGAAAAACCCGTCAACGCCAACCCCACAAACACCAGGCAAATACCCGCCCCAATCAGCACCATCAACTTGTGGCGCTAACAATGTACAAACAATCCCATCGCTGATATAGGCCAATATCATCACAATATGCGACATGGTTGCGTACCGATTCCCTCGCTTGAAAAAACGAGCCGCCGACGACGTACCCAATGTACGCCATGAACGCGACCATGAACCAGTTCAAGAATCCCTCGGGGTCGTTAAAGCCAGGGATGTACATGTGCTCTTCGCCAAACAGAAGCAAGTCAATGTGCAAATGCGCTCCGCCCACACACCCTTCAATGTCGTTTTCTACAACGAAATGTGATAAATAAATATATATATATATAGAAAAAACAATATCCCCAACACGAAATTACGATTTTTTGGTCTGCGTACCGATATACCCCGTGGGGCACCCCTTCACGGGCAAGTAGAACGTAATCAAGACATTGGCGAGCACGAACGCTAGCATACTCGACGCCTCCACCGCGCGCTGCTGCCACTTTCGCACGTCCGACTTGACGATCCCACCAAAGATAATGCACGTTGTGACCAACAAATAGCCAAACCCGAACGACTGCAGGACGCCCGTGATGCGGCCAGTGTTGAGATTCCGGACGTTGTTCACGACCAAACCCAACAGAAACAGCTTGACGCTGCGGACGAAGCTGTCTAGCAGAATGCGCCACGGCGGGGTTCCTTTCCTCACATGTGACGCCATCCCGATGTTCATGGTTACCCCCATGATCCACGCAAAGAACGGGAATATGACGTCGGCCACCTCCAAGCCGTTCCAAGCGACGTGGGTGAACGCTTCGAGGCCGCCGCCGCCGAGGTTGACAAAGATCATGGCGAAGATGGTGATGCCGCGGAATACGTCCAGGCACACCACGCGTGATGTCGACGTCGTCTTCTGTCGAGGGATGCCGACGGCATCTACCACTGGCTTGGACGAGGTCTCGACGTCTTCGATGGCGAGGGTGTAGTGTGCGGTGGTGCTCAGATTAGTCGTGTTGTCCGCCATGCGTGTGTGGGGCCACTGGTTGATTGACTTGTGATGTCTTGAAATTCTCCGCGTACCGATGTTTGGTGATGTTCCTAGGAATACTGACTGTATCGGATCGCTATTCTTACTGGATTCTTGCCTGTCAAATGGCAATGCAGCCGGTGATTGGCTGTTTGATTTCCGTTTTAAAACGACTGTTTTAGCAAGAATGTGTAATGATGTGTGTAATACTTCGAAGTTCGGTTAATTTAACGGTATGAGCTGGAAAATCAATTTCCCAACAGACGTAGTTCAATCAACGATGAAAGCACAAAAGAAACAAATATTGTGGACCGCCGAGATGGATGAGAGACATCTCAAGGAGGTTGTTCGGCTTGGCCCGAACGGTGTTGGTCACGGAAAGGCCAATGCAACGTGGGCAAATAGCACCTGTGCCCACAGTGCAGTGGCCATCTGGACGCACCTACCCGACAATATGCGACCCGAATTCTCAACGAGTCCATATACTTGATTGCATATTCGATATGGGTACATATGCGGTCATGCTGTCTCAGTAGAGTTGAAAGTTTAAATCCGAGTGAGGTTTGCGAAGCTACCAGTAGTAGCACAACAACTGACAGGGTGGTAAATGCCATTGGCCTTTATCCGTTCAATTTCCGGATATTGAAGTACCACTTTCGAAGTGCGCGTGTCCATGTGCTCGAAGACAAGTTGGGATTTGAATCAAAATAACGACTTGCTAAATATTGACTGTGAGTTTACTATTACAGTTTGTTAACGGGTGAGGGGTGGAATGAATCCGTGAAAGGGAAGCAGGGGGTTGGAATGGGCCAAAACAGGTCGTGTGGGAGGGTGGAGCGACGTCGCAGCCACAAACAAAGGGTTGGAATGCCTCACTTAACAAACCTCATTTGACTTGAACCACGCGTTGTTACTACCCCTTGAGGGGTGACATTGTGGATTGTCGCATATTCCGACATTGTGGACGTTTTATTTTTATGTAAGCTTATCATGAATTGATGATACTGTATTCTGCCCCACTTCAAATTCAACGAACGATGACATTACGTAAGTCGGAACATAGCTACGCTTTTTAGGGATAGATACGGGAATGACCTCCAATTCATTATAACGTTATTGTTATGCTTGACCGGTATTGCAATCGACTCCCGCGGATTCGGAGCATCGTTTCATGTTTGTGACATGAGGTTTCTACTTTGCAGGACACGACCATAAAGAGTTAAAATAGAAACAAAACAAACACCCTCCAACGTCTTACCGAGGTGCATATATACCATAGTAGTGTTCTTTCGCCACAAAGCGTGACTGCAAAGTTAGTCGTTACTATGTATTAATAGTGCTCCAGAGTACAAATCGGTGTCGACGACGAGCAATTCCATACTAACGTTAACGTTAGTATTGTCCTTTTACCCAAAGTTTGGACTTTTGGGCTGATTCGCCAAATCCGTCGATCGATTCTTTGTACTGACGTGAGTATGTAAAAATCGTCCAATGTCACACTAATTCAATGTTGAAATGGTCCAAGAGTGGATGATTGGCCACTTGATTTGTGTTCTGGGTTTTGATTGGTCGGTCGATGGTCTGCCGATTTGGTGTGCTCATTGGATTGAGCACCCCACTCCAATTTCGAATCGACTTGACAATACCGGTAGTTAGGGCATCCCCGCCGGTAAGACTGTAAGCTTATAATCAGACAGTAAAATACCGTTTTACAGTGCCTGTACTTTGATTTTCGTCAACCCCAGCAGTAAAACGGTAAAAAATCCGCATAACTGTCATATCCGGAAATGAACCCAAAGGCATACTACAGTACCATTTTGAATTGGACGATGGTGATGACGGACGTGGAATTCACTTGTTAATTCCCTGATCACCTTCCTGTCCTATATACTAGTAGTCAATAGTAGGCCGAGTAGGCCGTCCGTCATTCCAATCTGCACCTGGATAGTCGGGCTGAAGATGCTCGACTATGTAGGGACTGACTATTTCGGTCTCACAGTCAATTTACAGAATGGAGAGCAAAGCTCACCCGCGCTTTACTTACTGTAACGTTAGTTGGTCAAGGTCGTTATACTGCAGGTATATGGACTCACCATGGAGACGATGCGGTCGGATCCATTTGCTTGAAGGAAAGTGACGCCGATGATTGGACAAAATTATCCATTGATAGCATGTTATTGGCTTATTCGTTAATATATTTTTTACAGTCGAAGCTGTAAATCTAGCCGATTTAAAATTATACAGGTTCCTGTGTTTTATTGTCGCCCGGTGGGGGTGCAAAACTGTAAATAATCCGGATAGAACTGTAAAATAGCGTTTACAGTCATACCAGCAGGGATGCTCTTAGGACAGAGCACTCGGCGACTGTATTTGCACATAACTACCCAAGACTTGTGGCAGAAGGCAACTGATTCATTCTCACAATCATGCCCCGGTTGACTCGCCATCACTAAACCCCGAAGCGGGGTTGGAATAGTACAGTTCAACACTTCCGGTAAAATCCGGATACCATTGGTGTTGAAGTAATTTTATCCATTTTTGTTCCGTTGTTGCCAGTCAGAACTGGACTTGCTATTTGTATTGGTCCACCACGAGCCAATCAGAACGGCGATCACCAGTGCAGGGGTGCGTACTCTATCCGGATTGTTATCCGAATACAGGTTCCATCTCGCTGTTGCAAATTTCAACTACAAAGTCGTCGTCCATGACTCCCCAGGCGCAGGACAACCATGCGTCCGTGTGTGTAGAGAAGTCGGCGCGGGACAGCTTTGCCGCCGTTACAACACCCGTACATCTATTCACTCTCCTTTATACCACGGAACCCTCGCCATATCCCGATGCGCTGTGTGTAGGTCATGGAAGATGATAGTGCGACTGTTCCGCCTATGAGTACCGGTAGCGTCGACTTTAGTAGTATATCGCCACCACTCAAGAAGGTCCGCGTGGTGTGTCTGGACGTATTCCGAGGCGTCACGATCGTCATCATGATCTTTGTGAACCTTGGTGGCGGAGGACTGGAACCCTTCATGCACGCGGGTTGGAACGGCCTGCAACCCGCCGACTGCGTGTTTCCATTCTTTGCATGGATCATGGGTGTGACGATGAACATTGGAGTCGCGTCCCATGCGAAGAAAGGCACTGCGCCTTGGAGAATGCTGCGGGACAACCTCATCCGATCCATCAAGCTGTTTCTCCTCGGCATGTTCGTGAACAACGTCCGCAACCTCTCCACGGGCCGCATCACGGGGGTGCTGCAGTCCTTCGGGTTCGCGTACTTGGTCGTGTCGATCAGTGTCGTCCTGGGCTTGTACTGCAAGTCCGACGTCCGCAAGTGGCAGCAGCGCGCGGTCGAAGGAGTCGTCATGACGGGGGTCGTGGCGACGAACCTCCTGCTTACGTTTTTTCTGTCCGTTCCTGGCTGTCCCACCGGGTATTTGGGTATGAATCCTTGTTTGCATATTGTTCTCTGTAGCAAGAGTGTCCATATTGTGCACTGGGTGCATCAGCTGCACATATATATATAAATATATATATATATATGTGTTCATACACTTGCTTCACTGTTGTACGTAATGTTTCATATGTTTCATGATATATATACAAGCATATATTAATAAAATCTATCAATCTGTTGCATATAGTACGATTACGAGTTACCGCATATTTCGAATATGTATATATATAGTGTATATATATTGCATTTCCTTGTTATATATATATATATATATATATCCTATAGGCAACGCGATTGAAAGCTGCACCGGTGGTGCACACTACTACATCGATCAGCTTATTTTCGGCGACGCGCATCTGTACTACCCGGGACACATCGACCCCGAAGGCTTTTTGAATTGGCTCATGGTATCGTTTGTCACGTACTTGGGCTACGTCATCGGTGGCGTGTTCCTTGCCGCTCCCGCATGGGTACTACTACTACTAGTACTCTTAGTAGTACTAGTCTCGACGACGAACGGGGTTGGATGGCTCATATTGTTGCGTAGAAGCGGAAAGTGACAGTGTTAACCGCCTCGGGTATGGTATTGGGCTTGGTTGGGCTGAGTTTGGCTGGGTTTTCAGTCGAAGATGGTCCTATCCCGATCAACAAGAACCTGTGGAGCCTGTCGTTCGTGCTGGTCGTGGCCGGCCTCGCCAGTGTCGTGCTGTGCGTACTGTATGTACTTGTCGACAAGTTGGAGTGGTGGCACGGCATGCCGATCAAGGAGACCGGCATGAATGCGATCGCGTTATATGTGGGGGTATGTTTATAATGCAAGCCAATCTACATACAGTATTATGATGTTATACATAGTCTTTTGTGTTGAGTTTGCTTTGGACGTTTGAGCGTAAATGTATTGTGGTCGTGTTGCAATTTGAATGAATGGTGAACATACAAACTTAGATCTTTATTTTGGTTACATAGAATTCGATTTCATTAATATTTTAGACTTCTGTGCTAAGCTATTGATTATATAGATTTATGATTGAAATAATACTAGTGAAATAATATAGTTGTATTTGTTGATATTATTTTTATATATTAATTCGTTGACGTGAGTTTGTAACGCAATGTACGTAGCATGAAGTGGTGGGTCAACATGCTCCATTTGGTTGGGATCGAGACGAAGAAGTGATGGCCCAAAACGTGCTGAGCAACCTCGGTGGCACCCTCTGGTTCGTGTCACGATATATATATATATATATATATTCGTATAATACTATTGATGAATTTTGACGTGGAATGGTTGGTTTGTGTGCGTAGTTGGGTCGTGATTGCCATGTGGATGTTCAAGCATGGCATTTTCATCACAGTCTGACGACAAATTCGACTGGCCAAAATCATGCTAGTTGAGCTCAAGCCCAAAGCCACACTCAAGAAAAATATGGAGTTTACAACAAGGACAAAACAATATAGCTGAACATGATTCTAAAGAGAAGGCACCGTCAATAGAGAAGCTTCAACATCAAGCGTGAAAACTGCTGGGCGATCAGTGACAAGCAAGATACAACTGCCCTTCACTACGTACGTGCACTCGCAGTAAACTTGATAGAACGTAAACTTCAACATATGAAACCACCCCAAGGAATGAATCACTTTTGCATATCAATTGATTGAATGGGGGAGTTGGACGAGGTTGGTTGGCTGCGTTTAGTGTTTGTTGCAAGGCACTTGCGAGGAGTGGGGGGAGATGGCGGAGTTACTATACAGTTCCACTTGAAGGCTAAGACACGGCTGGTCCGACTCTGTGGCTGGTTGAACATTGACGAAACCTAGTTAACTAACTTGATACTAGTACTACAGTACAACGTTGCCGCTAGCTTGTTGTCCTGTCCCTGTTTCGCATAGATAGTATACGACACAGGGACAGGACAACAACAGCCCCGTCGACCGCCTTTCTACCACTGGACGTTTTCGATGCCGAATGTTTGCCCAAACAACCTCATGAGCCAAGAAGAGCGATGTCGGTAGGTACTTACTCTGTGCCAGACACGTTTGAAAATGGAGCCTCAGTGGAGTGACTGTAACCTGCCCAAGCGCAGCGGATGGCCGAACGTGAAGTCGATGACATTGGCATGCACCACGGATGTGGGTTGTAATCATTGTCCACCTGTGCGTTACGCTACTGGAATCCACGACAATCGCATTACTTTGAAATGTCCATCATACTATAGCCTAAACCTTCATGCTCACAAAACTACTACTAGTAGTACCTCCTTATCCACACTGCATTCACATGAGCAAGCATTGCGTATGTAAGTAGTCGCCTTCAAATGTCCTTGTCAACTCACAACTGCAGTTGGCGAGCTCGGTATCCGGATAATCGTTTGAGAGACCAAATTATCTTTTAAATTGGGCAATGATGGTGCAACTCAGATCTATAAAACTGGATCATTCCGTTCAAATTAACATGTGTCAAGCCAGCCAAACAGATGATTGTCTCTTTGACATCAAACTACAACTTCAAACTACCATGTCGGGCTAAATACTACTACTACATAGTACGTATACTAGTATTCAACCCAGTACTGGCATTCTGCTACTTGAGGTCCCCGCTCTCGTTGGTGCTCCCCATTGCTCATTTGAGAGGTTTCGTTGTCATACTATAAGATGTACCGTATACTTTGAAGCATGACCATCACGGAGATCAGCACTGTTCCGGTACTCCAGTACTAGTACTACAGTATAAGGTAACTACTAGTACAGTACTAGTACTACAGTAGTACTGAACTACGGTAGTAGTACGTACTGTAGTAGCACCTTGCGGAGTCGAGGAATTCGAGTTTGCCAAAACCATTGAGATACAGTGCTTGTCAACCGTTGTGGAGAATTCAAGTTGTGACAACGTCCACGGATCCCTCAAATATCCGTGCTGTATTTGGACCAGTTCAATTTGGTCGTACATACAATCAGATGGGCAAGTTGAACATGCGCTACGAACCTCAACACATGGAGCACCATGCGCATACTGACTGCCAATCATCGTCCCACGCCTCGACCGTTCGTGGCTGTCGAAAGCACAGCGTCCACCAGACAGCCGATCTCCATTCATCTTTCACTTGTGAATTTGCCGTGTTCTGAACCAAGATGAACATCGATACTGCGCTTTTCAAGGTCAACTACTCGGGCGCGGACAACGTCACGCTGTTTGCCATCCACGACAACTGCTGGGAGGTACAGTACTACCTATTAATCGTACTACACAACCCTCTTCATACTTACACTCTGTCTCGCTAGTGCGACTTGCGGCCCACAGTTCGAAACAATTGCAAACCCGGCATCGAAACCAGTTGTGTGAGCTTCACCACCACCGCCGACTTCAACTTCACCACCGTGTACCCGTGGGATTTGGAGCTTCGCAAGTCGTCCGACAACACCACCGTGCTGTGGAGCAGTCGGCAGTCTTTCGACGAGCACGCGACGTACCAACTGAACGTCACGACCGACGCCGCCACCGGCAAAGTCATCACGTCGACATACGCCCAGATAGTCACTGGCAGCTCGTCGTCCGCGCTCCCTTTCGTCTTGCTGGGGCTCGTGTTGATGTGGATCGTCGGGTGCTTTGGTTCGTTTTTCTGGAAGAAGCAAACGACAGTGACCGTTGTCAAGTCCCCCGGGCTCCAAGAAGAAATGCTACCCCGCGGCAGTCGCGACGATGGGTTGTGCGCCCCACAAGCTACGGCGCTGCCACTGCAAGTCCAAGACGTGGCCGCCCCTGTCGTCGCCCCGAAGAAGGAGCGCGTCGTGTGTCTGGATGTGTTTCGGGGCATCGACCTGTTTTACATGATCTTCTGCAACCAAGGCGGGGGGGGGTACTGGTTCTTTGAGCACGCAGCCTGGAACGGGATCATGCCGACGGACTTTGTGTTTCCCTTCTTCGCGTTCATTATGGGGGTAACTATGAACATTGGCATGTCTTCCCACGAGAAGAAAGGCACGGCGTTGTGGCGCGTACTTTTCGATCATGCGATCCGGTCGGTCAAGCTGTTTCTCCTCGGCCTGTACTGCAACAACTACCGCAACTTGACCACGGGGCGCATCCCCGGCGTCTTGCAGTCGTTCGGGTTTGCGTACTTGGTGTGTGCGATCGCGATCGTGGCTGGCCGCGCGTGCCAGTCGGCGTCCGTACCCGCGCTCCGCCGAGCGGTTGAAGGTGGCATCATCTTGGCCGTTGTGGCCATCTACCTCTTGGTGGCGTTCTTTCTGCCCGTGGAAGGCTGCCCCCGCGGGTACTTTGGCCCGGGCGGGGACTCGGAGCACGGCAAGTACCCCAACTGCATCGGCGGCGCCCACTTGGTTGTCGACCGCGCCATCTTCGGAGATATTCACTTGTATCAACATGGCACGTCCGGCAAGATTTACAACACCAAGGGGGGATGGGACCCCGAAGGATTCCTCACATGGCTCATGGTCGCGTTCTGTTGTTATATTGGGTACTTTTTTGGCGGTCTCTTTCTCCGCGAGTCGTGCTGGGTACTTACTACATACTGTATATCACGTTGGGTACTTATATATATCTATCCGTTTGTAGAAGAAGAAGGTATCCGTGCTGGCAATTCCGGGCGTGGTCATGATCTTGCTGGCGTTGATCTTGTGTGGGTTTAAAATCAACGGCGGGTGGATTCCATTGAACAAGAACTTGTGGAGCTTGTCGTACACGTTGTGCACGTCCGGCGCGGGGTGCGTCATGCTTGCGCTGCTGTATGTTGTCGTGGACAAGTTCAAAGTCTGGGACGGCGTGCCGTTCAAGTACAACGGCATGAACTCCATCTTGCTGTACATTGGGGTACGACTATTTGATATGATCCTGTATCATGTATATGATGTTCATGGTTGGATTGATGTAGCATCAAACCTTGTATAACCATACTCCGTTCGACTTCGACCGCGACGACAACTCGCACTTTGAAAAGACCTTGGTCAACTTGACTGCGGCTCTCTTGTACGTATGATATATATATTTATAGATACATATATATATATATATATATTGTGTCGAGTTGGGATGCTCATGATGTGGGTGGTGGTGAATTATTTTAGGTGGACATATGTCGCATACTGGTGCTACAAGCGCAACTTGTTCTTTACCGTGTAAGCAAAGCGTTGTAGATGAGAAGTTCATGGGCTCATTAGTGGTGTTATAATAATGTATTGTCAATTCGCTGTAAACTACCAACATTCCCGTAGTTTTCTACTATTAATACGAAGTACTACGGTACTGGAATACTTCTATTACCGATAACATCACAGTTAATACACCATTTTTCAATTATGTTCAGGATATTTCCGGTATATTTCGTCTGATGCTCATCTGATTGTCTGGACGAAATATATCGAATGTTCGGGGGGTCTGGATCACACTCCGATTTTTGCCCAATTCATACAAAGTAATTCGAAGAATTTGGTTGTTATCTACTGTGGACTGTCTGGATCAAATAGATTTCGAAAGAACGTCGACGATTCTCAGTTCTTGCCAACTTTCAGAAAAAAGGTGTCCCTTGAAGCTCGTTTTTAGTTTTTGGCGAGAAATGCGAAATTTCGCAAAATATTGTGAATTCTCCAAATTTTTGATCCAGACAGAGAAATTTATATTTTTTGCCGATTTCTTGGAAATTGCCAAAGTATCGAAGACTTTGGCCTTTTTTTGACATCCAGACTCACCCGGATTGAACAATGGTGAGTATATTGACTTTAATTATTGCCAAAATTCGGACGTTTTTTTCTTCGCTGGCCTGGATGCACACCCCATAAAATTATGGTGTAAACCGTTTTGGCAGGTCTGCAAATTTTTCCCAAAGTATGCAAAAAGTAGAATCTACAAAGCTTTGCCAGTTGAATTATGAAAAAAATGTTCGATTTCCGGTGGAAGTGCAAGGCTTCAACGTGACCATAAAAAGTCGGACCAAATCGGTCCAAATTTTTTATGCCATAAACACCCGATTCTCAAGAAAATTGTAACCTAAATTTTTAAACTTTGGTGGCATCCAGACGCACAAAATTCGAAAAATGGAATATTTCGATTTTGGCAGCTTTTCTTCGAATAACGGCCACTTTATACCATTTATTGTGTCATCCATACGGTTTATGGCATAATTTAGTGGTGTGGCATCCAGACCAGCCCTTACAAATCACTTTCCCTGCGAATTTTCGACCATAAAAAATGACGTAGAAGCTGTCAGAAAAGTCAAAGTATTCCGAGGGTCTTAATTATCATCAAAATGATATAATATGCCGAAATATCATTCTAAAGCAAGCAAAATTGAATAATATATTTAATACCCTAGTACTCAATTCCCTTTACTTAGTGACCATAATCCAGTTCCCCACTAGGCCGAATTTCAACCATGAAAACACAGCGTTTTTGCCAATATGTAAGAATAAAATCAAAAGTTTAATTTGTCATACAAACGCCAAGGCAAATAATATAATTCCTCCATCGCCAGGGTAGTTATTATGAACGTGAGGACCCAAGGTTGGATATTTCATCCGGATAGATATTGTGTACGGTAGATAGGCACCTTGTATGCATCCAGTAAACTGGAACACCAGTTTACGAAGTCTGGACACATGGACAGAGCGCATGTCCAGGTCGCGTTCACTACCACGAACGACGATGAGCGCGTGAAGCTGTACTCCGTGGACGACAATTGCTATGGAGTACGACGTCTGTCTTTTTCATGCTCGTGAGCATGACCTTTCGTTGCGTATAGTGCATCATGCAACCGATGACGCGGGAAGACTGCGACGCGAGCCGAGACGACTGCGCCGACCTCGCGCCGAACGAGAACTATACATTTGTGGTCCAGACAGTGTATCCATTCACGATGGAGCTGCGCAACCTGGACGGGGACAAGGTAGCGCCCACATCTCTCCTCATGATCTTTACCCGCCGCTCTTAGTTGTGGGTCGCAACCGGCATCATGTTTGACGAACATGGCAACTACTCCCTTGTCGCCAACAGATCCGAGACTGGTGCAGTGACTTCATCCATGACCAAGACGAGCGACGGATCGTCCAACGCGCTCATCACGGTGCTGCTGGTGCTGGTGTTGTTGTGGCCCTTGGCTTGCTTTGGGTTGTTTTCTTGGCGTAAACACAAGGCCTCCCGTCGCCATAACGTTACCGTCACTGCTACCCACGCAGCTAACGCCATGCACAGCGACATCCACGTGGACGAAATGCTGCAGGAACTTCCGCCTTCGCCTGAAGCCGTGGCCAACAAGAAGCCGCCCCGCGTCGAGTGCCTCGACGTGTTTCGAGGTGTGACCATCTTCACCATGATCTTCGTCAACTTGGGCGGTGGCGGGTACTGGTACTTCACCCACGTGGCGTGGAATGGACTGTCGGTCGCGGACGTCGTTTTCCCGTTCTTCGTGTGGATTATGGGGGTTACCATGAACATTGGGGTGGCGTCCCATGTGAAGAAGCGCACGCCGCTGTTGAATATGCTGCTGGACGCCGTTTTGAGATCGGTCCGACTGTTTTTGCTTGGGTTGTTGCTTGTCAACGACTTTCGAAGTCTCCACGGCGGCCGCATCCCAGGTAGGTTGGTATGGATGTATATATATTGTACATTTTACCGGAATTTGAACTTTGAGTAATTTCGCCAAATAGCATTCGAATATATTTGATCTAATTTAAGCTTGTACACACTATACGATACAAAGATATATATATATATATGTATCTGGTTTTGCCCAACGCGGAGGGGTCAAACGTTTGGATTGGCAGAAAATCGACATGACGTGATTTGATTGGCTCAGGCGTTTTTCTTTAATCCATTGTCTAATCAGAACTTCGATTCTGCTGAGGGCTCCAGTTTCGAATCGATTGGACAATATATATATATATATATATATATGAAAATTGATGTTTTATGTTTCAGGCACAATTATTTTATAAGTGTCGGGTTGTGTTGTGTAGGAGTGCTGCAGTCGTTTGCGTTTGCATATTTGATGGTGAATGTCGCCATCATTGCTGGTTTGGCGTGCAAGTCCAGTGGATATCTCCAGCGAGCGGTGGAAGGCGCGGTGATGCTAGTGGTGGTGGCAACCAACCTAGGGATTGCCTTTGGGCTGCCAGTGCCTGGGTGCCCCACGGGGTACTTTGGTAAGTCCAATATCACACACTATATATTGTATCACACTATATATTGTCCGCCCAACCACATTATGGATTTGTGTGCTATGGCATTCGCGAAAATCCAAAATTCGACCCATTCTTTGACACGTTGAATGTAAACCATAAGGTCAGCCAGTTCACACTAATTGAAGTCACACATGGAAGGGACCGAGCAGAGATGTGATTGGTCTCTTGAATAGTGTTTTGTGTGATTTGATTGGTCGGTTGATTGTCGGTCGATTTGATGCTGTTCAGTCGACCTTCCAAATTGAATATTTTTTCGTATAATTTGACTCTATGACAGGTCCGGGGGGTATTGGCGATGGGGGGCTCTATGCAAACTGCACGGGTGGCGCGCACCTGGTTGTGGACTTGGCGATATTCGGAGACAGTTATCTCAACCAGGGCGGCACGCCGGCGTCCGTGTACGAGACAACTGGGTCATGGGACCCCGAAGGCGCGTTAAACTGGCTCATGGTGTCGTTCATGGCTTATATTGGCTACGTACTTGGTGGGTGGTTCCTCAACGAACCGGGTTGGGTACGTCAGTCAGGGTACGGTACAGTGTACGTACGGCTAATGTTGAAGGCAGGTGCGTAAGACGGGGCTGTTGTTGGGCAGTGGGGCTGCGATGGGACTCACGGGGCTGGTCCTGTGCGGATTTCGAATCAACGGCGGGTTCATTCCGATCAACAAGAACCTGTGGAGTCTGTCGTTTGTGCTGGTCGTGTCGGGGCTGGCGTGTGCTGTGCTGGCAGCCACGTTCCTCTTGGTGGACAAGTTTGGTATCTGGGGCGGCACTCCCTTGAAACAAAACGGCATGAACGCCATTGCTTTGTACATTGGGGTAAGGTTATTTTTGTTTTATAGGTTGTGTATAATGTGGATGGATATGGTAGCATGAAATGCTGATGAACCACGCGCCGTTCTCGTGGGACCGCGATACGTCGTCGCATGTCGAGAACACGCTGAGCAACTTGGGCGGCGCCGTGTGGTAGGAGATGTATATATTATATTGCAAATGGATTTACAGATGATTGTTTGTGTAGCTGGACCATTGTCGCAATGTGGCTACACCAAGCGGGTATCTTTATTACTGTTTAATGCACGTTATTGCGCACAATATAGCGAAGCCGTTGTTTATATTGTCAAGTCGATTCGAAATTGGAGTGGGTGGGGTGGGTGCTCAATCGAATGAGCAGAATTACCAAATCGATCGACCAATCAAAGACCAGAACACGAATCAAATGGCCAATCAAATTCACTCTCCGACCAACTCAACATTGAATTAGTGTGTGACTAAAATTAATGTGACACTGGACAATAGTACTATTAATAGTATTTGGCGATGTGACCAGTACGAAGTACTACATACTACGTAGTACTAAGTTTTTTAATAGTAGTGTACTATTTTACTTCGAAGTACGTGAAAAAGTTTAACTGTTGTCATGTGGCGATCGAAATCACACTAATTGAATGTTGATGATGGTTTCCTGCAATCTGAATGGATCAATTGTAATGCCGATTCTCCATGTCGCTCCAGTTTAGAATAAGCAGAAAAATTACTCGGAGTACTTTTATTAATACCAATTCACAGTACTCTTACTGCACCATTTCCCGTTAATGTTGAAATGAATTTCCAGTCAATGTGAAATGAACACGTTCGAAATACGACGATTTTCAAATCAACATGAATTCTTTAACATTCAACTTGAAACATACTTCGAAGTGCTATATTTCGTACTAAGCTTAGTACTTTTAATACGTAATATGGATCATGTAATCTAAAAACTTCCAACTGGCCAAAACGCCCATGTAAAATACCCTTAGGTTAAATATCTATTTCAGAACCAATTCATCACCAAATTTGAATCTGAGATGTAGAATTTCTTCACCACATTGAGATCTGTCGATTCTACGTCTCAATTTGCTGGAAATTTGAGTAATGAATATGAAATACAAGTCAGAAAATTTTGTGAAAAGTTGGTAGGGTATAGATGACGTACACCATATATATATTAATATATTCTGGTGTATGATTTGGATAAAGGAGGAATATGGGTGAGAGAGGGTAGACATGGTGATTGAATCATTATTGTATACTGAAAGGTAGTATAATTCATCACCTTATGGTTACTATACTATAGTTGAAGTAAGTGTTACGTTTCCTTTTGAAGTGAACATTTTTCGTGTTGAGATCTGGAGCACGGTGATATTTCACCACCAGCGGTGGAGTTTGCCCCATAAATAGTTTCTCAAATTTAATCACTAGTCATTTGTAAGTGAAATTAATCATATACTACGTAGTACTGGAAATACATCTGCATTTCACTTTAACGTTCTTGGCAATATTGACTGGATATTCATTTCAACTTTAAACTACAGTGTAGTAGTACAATCAATACCTTATCCGTACTACGTAGTACTGTTGGACTGCACATGGCGATGACAGTAATACGTTATCAGCATTTTTCAGAATCTGGTCAGCTTGCGCATGTCGACAGAGCACTCGCAACGAATTCGCCAAGCGTGGAACGACAGTGTGCCGTGGGCGTACCTGGACCCTGTCCATCAAAACGTTCCTTTGGACGTGCGAGACGCCAGCCTCCGCCCACCGCCTCCACGGGTGCCAGCCACGTTCGACATCTTCATTGGCATTGCCAACTTCCGCGACGGCCCTCGCTGCGGCTTTACGTTGTTCACGGCCTTCTCCCGTGCCCAACACCCTGATCGAGTGATCATCGGAGTGGTGGACCAGACCCAAGACGACGACACAACCTGCCTCGACGAGTACTGCAAGTTGGCCGAAGCGTCCGGCTGGAACGAGTGCAAGTTCAAGTCCCAAGTTCGCGTGGACGCGCGCGATTCCCGTGAGTCCAAAGGACCGACGCTGGCGCGATGGCAGCAACAGCAGTTGATCAAAAACGAGGAGTTTTGCCTTCAAATCGACTCGCACAGCCAGTTCCTCCAGGACTGGGACACGCTCATGGTCGACGAATGGCTCAAAACGGACAACGAGATGGCCGTGATGACGTCGTACCCGATGAACTATGGATTCATGGGGCCAGGACACACTCGCCCAGACCATTACGCGTCTCACTTGTGCACGTACAACAAGCGCCACAACACCCATGACGTGCCCATCATCGGCGGGTACCTCCTCGTGGACGACCACAACGCCCCGCTCATGTCGGCTCTATGGGGGGGCTGCTTGTCCTTTAGCAAGTGCCACGCCGAACGCCGTGCCCCCAACGACAAGCACATGAACTGGGTGTTCTGGGGCGAAGAGTACCTCCGCAGCATGCAGCTGTGGACCCGCGGCTACGATCTGTACTCGCCGTCCAAGTATGGTAGTGTGGTGTTTCACAACTGGTCGGATGACAAGGGTATGAAGAAGCGGTTCTCGGACAACGTAACCCAAGTCATGACGAAAGAGCAACATGACAAGGAAGAAGAGCTCGCGTACAATCGACTGCGCATGGTGCTAACGTTGCCCTTTGACGGCCCCGTCGACGCCCAAGAAATCGACAAGTACCACGGCGGCAAAGTGCGGTCGGTGGAGCAATTTCTGAGGTTTTCAGGCATTTCTAACGTCGATTCAAACCTCGATGAGTACCGATGTGAGCAACTCCACTGGGTGCCGTACGCTGTGCCAGAAATCATCGAAGAGTTTTTGCCGGGGTATAAGATGCGGCCAATGCCAGTAGTAAGACAAGTCGACCAAGAACGAATGCAAGACCAATGGAGCCAACTTGTCAATGGATCGTGGCGTGGCGAAGAGAAGCAACTGCTGGTGCAACTGCTAGCGCAACTGGAAGCGATCAAGCAACCTTCGGCCGACCAAGCCCAACACCTGCGGGAGATGCGGCATCAACTGGGCCAGCTGACTCAGCCCCACCAAGGACTGTGGCCGTTGGCGTTTGTGTGGCTGGGGCTGATTTCAGTGTGGTTGGTCTTCAATCGAAGGCGCACTGCGTGATTGATCAGCAATCGTTGGCTTCTTGGACGAGTTCTTTAGACTAGGACGCGATTAAGTAAAGTGGAAAGGAACTACTACTACACTGTATAGTGTGCTACTACTACGAAGCTTGACTGCTCCAAAGCATTGCTCGTCCAATCGCGCTACATAACTGCCTTTGACAAGGCGTTGCTTGCTACACAGGCCATGCAACGTCCATGTGAAATCACCAAAAGGAAATCGAAATGGCAAGTGCACGACACGTTAAAGTGTAAGTTAAACGTATTGTTGGTAAGGACGCTTAAACGTGTTTAATTGACACCGATGCGTTAAATAACTTCACTGGCCACAATTAGGAAAGTACCAACGTTGATACTCGGAGTACTCGGAGTAACACGTATTAATACTACTGCGTACAGTACTATTAAATACTTACAGTTAGTACGTACTACTACGTAGTAGTAGTAACAGTAAATGAAATCGAAGGTAGTACTTCGACTAAAAATACAGACGGTTGTTCTTTACTATCGTGTTTGACATGTGAATACAGTACCATAATCTGGGGAGTGTGCGGATGCTGTATCTATATACAGCATCCATTTGCGAAATCTTGCTTTTGTAAGGACTGTGGAGGATAACGAATGAGTCTATACCTGGTACTATTATAAGGTAATCCATCAATATCGCGAACGCTTTTTGTGCACTAAAACGTCAAATGTTTGAAGCACTCCACCACAAAAAGTCCCTCGAATAAAAAAAAACTAAAGGTAGCGTTGGAAAATATAAATCCAGCTGCATTTTTTAGTGCCAAGAAATGCCTGAAATATCCCAATAATCGATTTTTATTTTGAAATTATAACGTAACGTTAAGAATTGGTGAAACTTTTTTGGCTTTGTATTTCGCAAACGGTCGTAATATCTTAGTTTTGTATGTATGGAATATTAATTTACAAAATAATATACCTGGGTGTCGTGACGCGTTTTAATTTATACATGAACTCAATTCTTCATTAAATTTGAACGCATTATAATAAGATACAAGTTGGAATTTGTATTGGACAACATAAAAATGAACATAGTTTTGAACTTCAAGGTGGTGTCCTGATCCATTGGCTGAATATAATCATATCCAATGAAAACCCCTCATTAAAGAATGAAGCCATTGGATTGGATATAATGACAACCGTTCGCGATATTGATGGCGTTCGCGATATTGATGGATTACCTTACGTATAACGTTAATTAGTAGGGATACCGGTAATGCTCAGTATTCTACAAGAACTATATATATCCTAACATTACGTAGTATTTTCTTGGAAATATACTCTGGGTTAGAGCAACTCCACTGCATACCAGTATACTACTTACTAACTACGTAGTAATAATTGGTCTCACCGGATATTCTGCCTGACCTTTGATCCCCGTTGAACAAAACCGAATTCCGATCGTTTAACGTCGACGTCTAAACGTCGTTTTCACCACGATTCGTCGGTTTAACGTGTATAGTTTAAACGTCTCCAACTGGAGCAAGTATCTGATTGGCTGGTGGGCTAGCACCCAAATTGGATCGTCACTCAAATCGCAAATTCGACTGCTGCCTCCAACATGGGGATCCGTGGGTTGACGGCATATGTGGCGGCGCGACAAGACGCGTGCGCCACTGAAGTAGACGATCTGAAGAACGTGACGCTTGGGGTGGACCTGGACTCGTTCCTGCACTTTGCATGCCGAGAGCTTGCCAACTCGTACAATGCGCAATGGCTGCTGTTGGGGGGCGACGCGCGCGCGTTGTACGTGTGGGTCCGCGAGTGGATGCAACCTTTGTTCAAGCGAAAGATTCGACTTAAGTTTGTCCGTGACCCGCCTGGGATGCTAAACATCATCAAGGACGTCACGCACGGCAAGCGGAGGGCCGAAAAGACGGACAAAACCAAGGCGTTGATGCGCGGGTTGTTTGCCACGACAACGCCGTCGTCACCACAGGGGGTCGACGACAACATCACTGTACCAGCCCCTCCTTCCACCATGACAGACCCGTCGGACCTGGTGCAGTTGACCGCGGACGCCGCGACCAATCTCATGGACACGCAGGCCGTGTTTGCGTTTGCCCGCAAAGCGCTGGTCGGTCCCTTCGTCGTGTCCTGATCTACGTACTTACACGAAAAGCGTTGTGTAGGTTCGTTGTCTCAAGCATGCCGGTTGCACCATCGTCACGGCCCCCACGGAAGCCGACGAGACGCTGGGCGAGATGGTGAGGTCCAAGGCCATCTACGCCGTCGTGGCGCGGGACTCGGACTACTTGTTCATGTACAAGATGCGGTACATCACGTTGTCGTCGATTGTGGTGGATCCATCGAGTGAGACCGTGCGCGCGACTGTCTTCGACACGGACCAACTGGCGGCGGCGTCGGGCCTGGCGCCCGAGAAGCTCGTCGAGTGGGCGATTGTGTGCGGCAACGACTTCACGCCGTACGTGGACCTGCACTTCCATCTCGCGGAAGCTTTGCACTTGCCTTCGTTGCGGCAAACCCACGGCAACTACAACATTGGGGACGCACTCGTGTGGCTACAGACTCACTTGGGCCCATCCAACAACTGGCTGGACGACCCCGAGTTCCACCAACTCTTGGCCGACGACACTGACTTGCTCGCTCATGTGTATGGGATTTACAGCTTTTACGGCGCCGGGGACCAAGTGAAATCGCGCTTTCCGCATGCTTCACGCCACAGCGTCCTCTCGGCGGCCGAGTGGAAGTACGTGCGCAAGCTGCTTGACAAGCTCATGCTGCCGAGTTTTACGATCGACGTCCTCTATGACCAGCGCCGGTCCATCAACAAGCGGTCCATGTTGCTGGGGCTGTCGGCATGTCCGATGCTCGCGGCGGCGCGCGCCGGCACGTACGGCCTCCTAGGGCAGACTCATGTCGAAGAGTACGAGACGTGCATCGTGACGGGCGACCGCCTCACGCGAACGGTGCAAGTGAATCCCTGCGACATGGTGCTGAAGACGATGAACCAGCACGCGAAGAGCAAGCGGGTGCACAAAGCCAAGGCGATGGTGCTGACGTGGGTCGAGTCGAGCCCAGCAGTGCACGCGGCGATGGCGGCGTGGCACCCGCCCAAGAAGCAGCCTGATTTGAAATATGTTGGGTATGACGATTTGATTGGTGTTGACTATGGAGATGGAATGACTGGATGTGATTGCGTTTGTTCCCAATAGGGGTGGCGGTGTGGGGGTTGATTGATTGACCATATATATATATATATATTTGGCGTTGGGGGTTGATTGATTGATCATATATATATATATACATCCATCGGTCGATTTGTGTATTTTGTATGGAAGCCATATATTCGTATTTGAAAACCCATTCGATTCTTCATTGGATGGATGCTGGACGTTTTTGATTGGCTACTTCCTTTAAAATAAATTATTAAAATTTAATATGATATTTTTGTTTTTTATAAAGATATAACTTGGGTTTATGCATCATTTTGAGGTTTGTTCACTGTGTTGTGTTGGATTCTGGACCAACTTGGAGAGTTAGTTATTATATTGCCACCTCGTTGACATGGTTGTACTTAGGTATGCGCTGGGCATGGTGCTGGCATCGACCCCTGTGAATCGACTGAGCTCCCCGTCGTGGATGGCGCTGCTGCTGACGTCCGTCGTGAGCATTTGCCTCCAAAAAGACAAGCGGGGGGGCTTTCCATTTGCTTCGTCGGTGGGGCTCACGCGGGAACTGGTGGAACTCACGGCGCGGTTCCTGTCGTCGCTGGAAGCGCTGAGCCACGTGTTCGACATTCTGACGCTGCATACAGACGTCAACATGCACGCGTTTTACTCTGCGTCGCTGGTCGTGTACTTCCTAAGCAACGGCCCCATCTCCAAGTCCAACGTGCGCGACATTCTCCTGGGTTGGTCTATTTCATCGTCTCTTTCAAAAGTATTGTGCATTGCACCCATATGTCGACTTGAGAAATAGCATTCGAATCTATTTGATCCTATTTGATGTTGTACACACTATACAACGATGAGTATATATATACTATATACCGGTATATGGTTTTGCCCAATGCGGACAGGTCCAACGATTGGATTGGCAGAAATTCGACATGACGTGATATTTTGATTGGCTGTGGCGGTTCGCAAATCGATTCTTGATGCACATGTTGACCATATGTGTATATATAATATGTGTATTTGTATAGATCCTGCATTGGGCTTGTCGGCCGAAAACGTCATGTCCTGCTTGTGGAGCTTTCACACGCTCATGGCAGTGTTTGCCAAGGCATTGCCGCCATCATCGGTCCCTTCCACGTCGTCATCTTTGCTGATGCCATCGCAAGTGATTGCCAAACATGTGGACAAAATGGCCGCTAAAGGAACGAAAGCAGCACCTACCAAGCAGAAACACAAGCCTGTTCAAGCAGCCTCAGCTCAAACACCATCAACAGATGACAAGTCGCCGTTGGTGTTGGAGCCGTTGGCGTGGGACGAAGACGTGGACAAGAGTTTGGTCGAGTCCAAGCAGCAGCCGCCGCCCCGGGTGGCGGACTTGCGCCAGCTGATTTTCACGCTTCCTGTGTACAAGCACAAGGCTGAGATTTTGCATCATGTTGCGACGAACCCGCTCGTGGTGATCCAGGGCGAGACGGGATGTGGGAAGAGCACGTCCGTGCCGCAGTTTCTGCTGGATGAGGCCATCGACACTGCCAACATTTACGTGACGCAGCCGCGGCGGGTAGCGGCCATCACGCTGGCGGCTACCGTCGCCAAAATGCGCGGCGAAACGGTATGAACTGGCTTGTTGAAGCCAGAATGTAGACGAGTCGTGTATTCATATCGATGGACATGTGTTTTGACCTGCTGCACTTTTGGATTTATTCACGTATCGAGGCGTGTTTGTATATTTATATATATATATTGGTTTTTATTTATTATTGTTATTGGAGCTTATGTCGGAATTTATCAATCGAAGGGTAAGTGTTGACTGTCTTATCCCATAAAGTATGGACACTTTTGAGTTGCCTGTTGTATGCCATGTTGTTGGAAGCTTTGGTCTGAATTTTTCGATCGATGGATGTTGTGCTGCCTTTTGGATGTGCGATCAAGGATCAAGACATATATATAATATATATATATCAGTTGTCTATGTGTGGTGGAATCGCTTCGTGTCAAAAGTCAAATTGTAAAACCACATGAGGTTATTGTGATGATTTAATATATGGGAGTGTAGGTGGGCAAGACGATTGGGTATCGCGTGGGTCAAGTGCAAAAAGACTCTGAGGCAACGCAGATCACTTATGTGACGACGGGGTACATGCTGGAGCGGTTGATTCACAGCCCAGATAGCGTGGACCGCGTGAGCCATTTGATTCTGGACGAAGCGCATGAACGAAGCATGGACATGGACATGCTGCTGCTCATGCTCGCGACCAACTGGCACCTCTGGCCCCAGCTCAAGCTCGTCATCATGTCGGCAACCATGGATTCGTCCATTTTCTTTCAGTATTTCAAACCGGTACACGTTGCTGCCGAACGAGTTGCTCAGTAACCATATATATTGATTAGGTGCTGCCGGTGGCCATGGCCCACAGCGACGAACTGTTTGTAGGGTCGGCGCTCCATCCGGTTAAGACGCTCTTCTTGGAAGATATGAAGCGCATTCCTGGCTTGAAAGTAACGAAATTGGCCGACTCGTTGAACCAATGGGACAAGGCGATTATGCACGACGTGGAACTGGTAGGACCATATATATATATATCAACCAAGACGTGGAAATATCCCGTTCAAATTTATATATATATATAATCGAGAATTGTACCATTTCCACATCTTGGTGGTACAATTCGCGATTATATATATTTAAACGGGATGAATGATATAAATTGGTTTGTACTGGCTTTGTACCATATATATATATTATATATATATAGAGAGAGAGAGTAGAGAGTAGAGTGGTTTCGTATGTATGTAGGTGATGAAATATGTCTTCTGTATATATCTATTTGCTGGTATATGATCGATATACATTTAGAAGCTTTAGAGTATTGGATAATAGGATCGTACTCTATTTGTTGTGATATATATATCTATTTGCTGGTATATGATCGATATACATTTAGAAGTTTTTGAGAATAGAATAATAGGATCGTACTCTATTTGTTGTGATATATATCTATTTGCTGGTATATGATCGATATACATGTAGAAGCTTTAGAGTATTGGATAATAGGATCGTACTCTATTTGTTGTGATATATATATCTATTTGCTGGTATATGATCGATATACATTTAGAAGTTTTTGAGAATAGAATAATAGGATCGTACTCTATTTGTTGTGATATATATCTATTTGCTGGTATATGATCGATATACATGTAGAAGCTTTAGAGTATTGGATAATAGGATCGTACTCTATTTGTTGTGATATATAGATGACGAAAAAGTTGCAAAACGTGGTGACGGCGCAGTTGGATCTGTGCGTTCAAGTGGCGCACACGATAGTACAGTCTCAGGGCGGCAGGGGGTGTATCTTGATCTTTGTATCGGGGCTATCGGACATTCAGTACCTGCACGAGCGCTTCGAGACGTGGAAGATGATTGAGCTGTTTGTGCTGCACAGTGACATCGAAATCGACGACCAAGCCAAGGCATTTGAGGTATTATAGCAATATCACGACAAAATGACTATATATCTGCGGTGTAGAATGTCGAGGGCAAGCTCAAGATCATCTTGTCGACCAATATTGCCGAGAGCAGCGTGACCATTCCGGACGTGACGCATATCATCAACACAGCGTTGGAGAAGCAGATTGTGATTCATTCGCAGACGAAAACCGAAGTGCTCGTGCGCTCGTGGTGCTCCAAGGCATCGGTCAAGCAGCGATCGGGTACGGTCTGGCTCTGGGGATTTTTCCCCTTTTTCCCACTGGTGGGATTGATGATGGGGTCGACTCGCGTGTGATTTTTCCCCATACATTTCGTCGTGCAAGGAACAATCCCTTTTACAAAACGATTGAAAGGACAACGTTCCCATGAGTGTGTGGTTTGGGAACGCCGACATACACTATATATCATCCCGTCGTCATCGATTCTACTGTCCGTGCTATATTTAGTGGAATGTCTCACGCATGTAGATACCTCTATCATACACTATAAGCACAATCTAGTCATCGATACACTATATATATATATATATATATATATATCATCCCGTCGTCATGATTTCTACTGTCCCCATTATATTTAGTGTCGTGTTTCACTCTTGTATTGTCCTTTTACCCCAGATTTGGACTTTTATGCCAAATCTATCGATCGATTCTTTGTCCTGACTTTTGTAAAGATCGTCCAGGATCACACTAATTTCAGTCACACACTAATTCGGTGTTGAATTATCAAAGAGTGATTTTGATTGGCTACTTGATTCGTGATCTGGATTTTGATTGGTCGATATATCGATGGATTCTCTGCCGATTTGGTGATTCTGCTCATCGAGCACTCCTCCACCCACTCAAATTTCGAATCTATTTGACAATATATATACATATATATATATATATATAATATATATACACGTAGGCCGCGCCGGTCGCATTCGCCCGGGGGTGGCGTTCCATCTGTTTACCAAGCAGTTTATGGACACATGTATGGACGAGTACACGACGCCCGAGTTGCTCCGCAAGCCTCTGGACAAGGTGGTGCTGCAGATGAAGGCCCAGATGCAGCACATTGGGCTGCCGTCGGCGTTGCTGGCGAACGCGCTGACCCCCCCCGACTTGTCTAATATCCACATGGCGTACAAGGTCCTGCACGCGTATTCAGCGGTGGCATCCCCCAGTGAAAAGGACGACATCACTGCGTTTGGTCTGTTTTCCGTGCACTTTCCACTGGACATTCGGCTCTGTCGACTGCTCATGTACGGGCTCTCGGCGTTCGATTGGGGCGTGGGTGTGGTGGATGTGGTCATCCTTGTCGCTGTGCTCGCAAGCCCAGACTTGCACCTGTCGCCTTCGCGATTTCATATTGCGTCGGCGGCCAAGTACGTGGAAGAGATGAAGGCGGTGTTGGCGGTACGACATTTATATACATATATATATAGATGATGTGGGTGGTGGTATATATATATATATTTCTTTTTTCTTTCCATGCAGCCAAAATGAAGACGTTTGTGTGTTTTGCATGTATCTATATATATATATTCGATATGGGTGGTGAATGTGGAAAACATCGTATATATATGTATATTGGTCCATTCAGCGTTGTGGATTCTGATTGGTCGGTCGATTGTCGATTTGGTGGTACATCCAAGTATGTTCATGTGCACTAGAGCTAATGGGGTGGTGGATTATGGTTAATATATATTTTTAGGCCAAATTCGAACTGCAAGAAGGGCAAGTGCACAGTGAACCGCTGGCGCATTGGAAGTTGATTGTCGAGTGTTTGGCGTGTCCACACAAAGGCCACGTCACGGCGCTGCTAAAAAAGTATGCGATATCGTTTCGGCGTTTCCAAACCATGCTGGTGCTCGTGGGTAAGTCTACTAGAATATAATTAAATATATATTTGATATGTTGGTCCTACGTACGTGTAGGGGAATTGTGCGCACGGCTGATGCGATTGGCCAAGAAGCCGACCTATCAAAACCTGCGTGCACTGCAGCCGAGTATGCTGCGGCACCTCGTGCTCCTGCAAAAGTTTAGCGCGCGCATGTACTCGCCCGACCCGTGGACGTACCAGCACGCGCCGCTGCCGCTGCTTCGGCTGTTGATTGTACTCAACTACCCCGATTGCCTGGTAGAGTCTCTATGTTGCTATCATCGTTACCCCTTTACCCTGTCCATCTTTTACTCGTTTTTGTAAGTATGTCGACGAGCGATTTACTATAGGTTGTGCGCTGCTTGTATATATTCGTGCGTGTGGCCGTGGTTGCACAAACCGATCCACAATAGATCTGATTGGTTGAATTTCATTGAGAAGGTTTTGATTGGCTAATAATTTTGAGCTCATCTAAAGTAGCCAATCAAATCGATTTAAATTCCAACGAGAAACCACGCCACAACACAATGAAATTTCACTCGAAAGCACAATATATTGTCGATGTATTGCCTCGGGACACATTTGGACTTGTATTCGCCAAATCTATCGATCGATTGTTTGTACTGAAGTTTTGTATGTAATAAAATGCCCTGTGGGGCTTGGAATCACACTAATTGAGGTCACTCACGAATCACATGCTTTAGATGGATGGTGTCGTGCAACCTGATTGGCTACATACTTGTCTTGTGTACATTTCACCGTTCCTTGTCCATGTCGCTCCAGTTATATTACAATATCATAATAATTTTATGCCGTGTATGTAGGCCCGAGGGCGGTTGCCTGATACAAAACCCACCAAGGGGGGGGGCAATTCGAAAGAAAGCAAGAAAAAGAGCCAGACGAACCAGCCCCCGACGCAGTTGGCGCTGCAGGTGGACCGCGTGTGCAAGTGGGGGCTTCAGATCCCCCCTGCCGACTTTAAGCAGCTGGTGGCGCCGCTTATGCTGACGCCAGAAACGATGAACGTGGCCAAGCGCTTGGACGGGTTTGATCTGTCGGTTTCGTCGTCGTCGGACCCGCTGCCGTTCAGCTTGTCGCTGCTGTTTTTCCTTCGCGAGAGGAAATTCCCCGTGGATTTGCCTGTGTTGCCGCTGTGGATCCCCGGGCCTGGAGACCCCGACGCCCTCCGCGTCCGCTTCAAAGAGCTCAAGGTAGGCGGGCCGATTCGGTGGCTGCAGTCGCCCAGTGGCAAGTCGCTCAACGTGAGTGGCCGCAGTATATTTGGACTGCCGCACACGAAATTGGACAAGAAGATGGTCGTGGGAGTGTTTGCCGAGCAGCTGCTTACTGGCGACGGATCGACGCTCATGGGCGGGTGCTGCACGCTGCTGCCGCCGCAAGTGGACACGTACTATCCCATTGGTAAGAATGTGGGCACGAAAAGTGTTTGCTTATTATATGATACATACGCGTATATAGCAAGGTATTGGTTATTTAGAACCTGGCAGTGTTGTTTTGGCTCTGTGAAAAAGATTTAAAGGATTTTGGTGGTATGGATGATGTTGTTTGTCCTATATATATATATATAGTACACAAGATGCTTGAATATGGGAATGTGATATCGAGTGGGTGGTAGTGGAATTTGTCATAGTGACGTTGGTTAGCTTTTAGCCAATGCTCAGGGATTGGACGTTTGGTTTTGCTATGTAATTGTCCCTTTCAGCTCTAATTTGGACACTAATGCTGATTTTTGCCAAATCCCTCGATTGTTTGTACTCTATATTTTGTATGCAATGTCGGCCAGTGATATCCATCACACTAATTCAAGCCACAATGGCACTATATTTAGTTGTTGATTGGTTGAATTGATGATTTCCTGCCATTTGATTGGCTACATGCTTCTGTATCCTTGTTAGTTGTTTCTCCCTTCTTGAATCAACACTAACACACTTTATATAGTGATGCTCATGACTACAAAGCGAGACGTGTGGTTGTATATGGACGGTCGGCGTGAGTTCTGGACCCAGGCCAAGGTGGATGGCGACAACTTTGCCGTGGACAATGGCAGTGTGGCGCTGCAGCCGACGATGAACATTATCAACACGGTGCGCCAAGAGCTGTCGCGGGGGTTGGTGCAGACATTGCTAAAACGCGACGACAGCAACGAAGCAGCGATTTCCACCAGTGATATGGACGCGCTGTTTGCTGTCCACACAAAGAAACTCAAGGGCAAAATGGACTGGGTCCGTCTCACACTCGATACGACCGTCAACGTGCCGTACCCGCCCTTCCATCTGGAATAACGATCTAGTTTTCGTGAAGTCTATGAATATATGTAAATATATTTATATATGTATATATACGATTCTGGCTTTATAACATAACGCGACTATATTATACTACTAGTAGTTGCTAGTGGCGTCTGGAATTTAACAAACAGAAAACAGCAGTTCCAGCATCTACTTCGTTAGCCACGCCCTTGGGTAATTACTAGGTGTTATCTACAATCAATATCTACCCATATCCGAAGTTGCAATATATATATATATAGATCTATCGCGACCCCATGTGGCCCCGTTGGTAGACTTCCTTGGCCACGCCCTTGGGTAGGTACCCGTGCAATTTGGCAGCATGTTCGTCCAGAAGCCGGCGCTTGGCTTCTTCGACCACCGCCTTTTTGAAGGCCTCTTCGTCGGCGATTCTGGCCGCTTCTTCGCGCTCCTTCTCCAGCTCATGGTGGTACATGGCTTGTTTATGCTGGTTCTGGGCCGCAATCGACAGCTTGTACTCTTCCTTTTGCCGGCGTCGAAACATGTCCATCTCCATCGCGCGCCGCTCTTCCGATGCGAACTTTCGCTTGAGGAACTCATTGTACTCGTCTTCTTTGCGCTTTTGCTCGGCTACCAATTGCGCCTTGAGCACTTGTTGCTGGTCGTTGGAGCGCATCATGTCCTACACACACTCTCGTTCGTGACCATGTTGCTCGACAAGTGAAGGTATATATATATATATATATATATATATATTACCTCCTTGTCGGCCTGCTTCTTTTGCGCACGTTCGCGCTCCTTGTGCCGCCGCGCCTCGAGCACCTCCTCCTCCCACAACTCGTCCCGAAGCCGCGCAAACTCGTCTTCTTCCTTGCGCTGCCGCTGGATTTCGGCTTCCACGGCCAAAAACAGTTCGTCCTCGCGCTTCTTTTTCTCGGCCAGTTTTTCTTTGATCCCGGCCTCGCGCAACTAGAGTATATATATCGACATCAATCGGTGACAATATTAAAATAATAATAATAATAATCTCAATCAATGGAGCTGTGTATGTAATGTCCAAAGAGCAATGGAATCAAACGATATGATGGAATATATCCACATGTTCCAGATCATTGCCAGTACATAAAGGACATGGCACACGTAATATATATCGCCGTTAGAGCCAGAGGCAATCACGAACATTACAAACTGCCATAATACTGAATACATATAAACTGTAGTTTTAGAGGAATGGAAAAATATATCATATTATCAAGGGTGCAAATAAATATAAAATAAATAGTGTCAGCAATACATTGGCAGAGCAGCATCAACCCACCACCCCCTGCTTGTGATACGTACTTCGACGTGTTTGCCATGCTGTAAAATGCGAAGATCCTCCTCCTTTTCCCGTCGCAGGAGCTCGTCTCGTTCCTGCATTTGAATTGTTAGGGTTGGCTTAATATTTATATATATAATATATATATATATACCTTGGAGCGTTGTAATTTGGAGTCTTCGATGAGTTTCTTGGCTTCCAACACATACCTTGCACACCATTCATCAACATTGTGAAGGCCATCACAACTTCCAAATGTCTTGCACCACAACTTTCAAATGTCCACCACCAGCACAACTTTTAGACTACGTACCGCTCCCGCTTCTCCTGCTCGAGCCGGTCTTCTTCTTCGATCTTCCTCATGATGGTATCAACTTTGTGCTTGTCCATCTCGGCCTCCCGCGCCGCCTCCTCATGCAGCTTGAGTCTGTCCAACATCTGCTGCTGAATGCTCTGCTTGGACGCGACCGCTTCCACGCGCTTGCCGAATTCCTTGGCCGCCATGTCCACGAGCGATCGCTGTCGGTCGTACTCCATCTGCACTTCGATGGCCTTTTCCCGGGCCACTTCGATCTGGCTGAGAGTTTCGCGCTCGGCTTGCTGAACGGCGCGCTCCTTGTTTACGTACGCGACCTTGAGCATGCTCTCCAGCTCGCGCAGCTCTTCGCTCGACTCGCAGATGCGCTGGATCTCGCGCTCCTTGCGGTCCTGTGTCCGCCGCTCTTCTTCGAGGGCCTTTGCGATGAAGTCGTTCTGATCGCGGGTTCGTTGGCTTCGGGTCGCATCCCGCTCCACCGCAATCGACCGCTCCTCGAGCATGGCCTCAGCATTACGCTGGAACGCTTGGTTATTGCGGCGTTTCGCCAGCACACCCATGTCGCTCTTGTTGGCCATGGTCTGCTGCTGGTTGCTGGACGCATACCGCGTCAGTTCGGCATTCTCCGCCTCCTTCGACCGGCGGTCCGCCATCGTCTTTTCGACCTGGCGCGTCGTCATACGGTGCATCATGACGAGTGGTGCGACTGCTTCGGATGGACTGCTGACGGCTGCTTCTCCTTCGTCCTCCGCGTGCCTCGATGGATATTTATAGGAGGCCTTCGAATCCAATCTCTTGGCCGTTTCATGCCGCCTTTTTCGAAAGGGAGCAGACGTTCGTAACGATATTTTAAATCCATTTAGAACCAATATAAAACGTCTTGTATTCACACTCTACCGGTAGATTACCCATTTCCGGACATATATTTACTTATACTATTTGCTCGAATCCAGAATGGCGCAATATGATTGGCTAAAAATGCCAATTGGTGCTTAAACTTCGCCACCAATCAATCGAGTGATTGGAATCCCGACACAACACCAGTCGCGACATTTAAGGGAGAACGAAGATGGCGTTGGAGGTGGCTGCCGTGGACCGGTTCTTTTGCAACGTGATGGAGTTGATTCCGTCGGCACATTACTTTCCCACAGAGCCCGAGGACAACTTCAAGCACAGCATCAACAAAAAGTATCACAAGAACGTCAAGGCACTGTCAGCGGCGGCCGACGTCGATATCACCGACTCCAAGCACGTCGGCAAGCGGTTGAAATTCAACCCCAAGCTTCAGCTGTCCAACGAAGCCACACAGGTGCATGAAAAGGAAAAGGAAACCAAGCGGGTCGCCGCCACCGCCGCCGACGACGACGACGACAATGTCGACGATGCCACTCTCACAGGGCTCGACGGTCTGCGTAAACGCCTGGCCAAGCGCATTGAAACCATGCGTGTCAAGCGCCAGTCGGTCAAGGAGCACAAGACGACGAAGAAGGAACACACCAAGGACGGCGGCGCAGGTATGGTTGGTTACCTCCACAGTGCCACAACATACTGTTCTCATCATCCATATGACCTGTTGGCGGTTACGTTGTAGACAAGAGTGCGGCATCGAAGAAGCGAAAGCCGTCGACTTCGCAAGACAAATCGCAGCACAAAAAGGCCAAGGGCAACAACGATGATGACGTCGTGCCGACAACCGCTACGACGACACTGTCGACCTCTTCTAGCAACGCCGAAAGCAACGCAGCCACGGACGTAGCAACGGCGAAAACCGTCGACGAAAGCATCTCGTATGGGAGCTTGTTGGTCGGCCACGAAAAGAAGGAAGAGGCCAAGACTCGGAATGGCCGCGGGCTAGCTAACATTCAGAACTTGCTCAAGAAAGCCGAAGCGAAGAAGGCACGCATGGAGGAGCTCAAGAAGACCGAGGAAGGCCGCGCGGTAGTTGCCGCCAAGGGATGGGAGAAAGCGCTCAAGCAAGCACAGGGGGACAAGGTGATGGACGACCCCAAGTTGCTGCGAAACAAACTCAAGAAGAAGCTTAAGCAAAAGGACAAGAGTTCCAAGGAATGGTACGAGCGGATATTGTCCTTTTACCCAAAATTTGGCTGACTTTTGTGCGGATTCTTTGCCAATTCTATCGATCGATTCTTCGCCCTGACTATTGTATGGAAAGGTCGTCGAGTGTCACACTAATTATATGTTGTTTTGGTCAAAGAGTGGATAATTTGATTGGCTACTTGATTCGTGATCTGGATTTTGATTGGTCGTATATCGATTGTCTGCCGATTTGGTTCATCTGCGTAAACGATTGAGCACTCCCAATTTCGAATATATCGACTTGACCATACAAAATATTAAAAACAATATTTTGAATCGACTTGGCAATACAAAAAAGTATTATGTTTTAAATTTCAAACATGTTTATTTGTATGGTTATATAGGAAACAACGTGTGTCGAATGAAAAGAAGGGCATGAAGGATCGAGCGAAGACCAAGGCAGCGAATGCCCGGACGGGCAAAAAGGTGTTGCGATCCAAGGCGGCGGAAGCGCGAGCGCAAAAGATTGCCGCGAGTAAACCCAAGCAAAATGGAAACGTACGTTGCATGATATATATCTATATATATATATTATAGAGAAGCAACTAATCGTGGCGATATTGTGCAGCGCGCGGGGTTTGAAGGCAAGAAGGGCGACGGGTTTTTGAATGCCAAGAAATAATAGTGTATGTCTGTCGAACGTTATAAACTCCAAAAACAAATATTGCCTTAACTATGTCGACCTGGGAGGAGAGATGGACGACGAGGATGAAGGGGATGATGGATGGGAACACACGTTAATTTATAAAGGGGTGGACACGTGCAAGGGTGGAGGCGTCGCACACAAGAGGATACATGCCGAGCAGCAGGGGTGGTGCCGTCGTGGGTAGGACGTTTCGAAGGATGAACGGACCGCGCACTCGTGCCTCGCGCTTGCTATTGTATCACACATCCACCGCCGCCTTGGGCTGCCGCTTGCCATACATTTGGCGACTCGTTGTCGCCCAAGAATGGATCGGGGGTCGTGTTGCAGTACTCGGAGACTCTATCAAGTATACAGGTCGTCAGCGACTTGAGCGTGAAGAGTAAGGACGTACTTCTTGGCCGCTTCCGACGTGGTGATGGCGGCTTCGAGGGCCTTGAGGTCCAACTCCAAGCGTTCGATCTCATCCGAGAGCTTCTTTACCTGCGCATCAGCCATCGTCGCGACAATCCTGGGGCTGCTGGATGCACTTGCCTCTTCTTTATCTCGAATGAGAAGCCCAACCGACACGGAAGGTTTCAGAAATCTATTTCTGCTCGCCATCGCCCGAAACGCACAGGTCGAAACGACCCATTGCAACATTTGATTGGCTGAAAATTTTGGATACAGCCAATCCAATCGTTGTATTTCGTGCGAAATACACTATTCCGAGTTTTCGAAGGCCTTTCGACAACTCACACTATTTCCAGATCCGCCTCGTGGCAGTTACAGGCGAAGGGACGGCGCGCCGGGTCGGAAGCGGCGCACTGGGGTGACCACCACATCTCAGGCGTGTCTGTTCCAAGGACGAGATGATTGCCTGTGATGCCAGTGGTCCATATGGCTATAAGGCTGTAGAGCACAGAAGATGCTCTGGCACCAGGTCAAGAACATTGCATCTCTGCAGCTCAGCACCTCAACAACTCGAGGTGTAATCCAGTCTAATGGTTGAGTGATTATCAAAGTCCAATGAGCTATTGCTTGGGCCCAGACTCGGTCGCGCGAACGAGTTTCATGATGAAGTCGTCCACGCGCTTGTGAACGGGCACAAAGATATCTGGGTTGTAGTACATTGCAATCGCACCCAACGCCTTCAAGGACGAATCAACATGATCATTTCATCATCATAAAGGTCATGTACCTCGCAAAACTCTGTAAACGTGAGCTACGCCACACCACCAATCAGCATTTTCTCATGAGCCCAACCACACCAACCTCCTAAGCATCGATGTGAACCTACCTCCAAATCCACGTCGGTGGTGACGGCGGCGCCACTTTCAGGCGCGTCGTCGCTTTCTTGCTGGATTTTTTTCAGCACGTGCTTGACATCCCCCACCGTGAGCACGTCCGTGAACAAGTCGTACGCCTAGTAACGTTACAGTTAGTTGGCCCCGTCTTCTTCGACCAATCCAAACCATTCCAAGCTACCTCCAACAGGGCTACGAACCCCTGGCCATTCAAACTGCTCGACTGCGCCGCATACCGGCGGTAGATTTGCTCGAGTTTGGTCTGATACGTCTGGAACACAGCTTTGCACTCGATGGCGTTCATTTGGTGGCGAAAGGCATCTGTAGACGACCGACACGCGTTGGCCAAGATGTACTCGACCAAACACTTTTTCACCCGCTGGCTCAGGCTTAAGCCTACAAGTGCATGGACATTTGAGTGGATGGGTGGATTCTACCAACATCCCAACCTTTGTGGCTACCCAGACGCTTGTCCGCAACGCACACTATCGCCTCAACAAACTCTGTCGGCCCGAATTCTAGTTCCACCTATATAGTATGTACATCTATCCCGTTCACAACCCCGTACAATACCAACACGAGGCAGCACCTCGTTCTCTTCGTCGTCGTCGTCATCGTCGATGTCACATTGAACGCTTTTGTCTTCGACTTGGTTGATTTCGTTGAATATTTTCTTGACATACGCCAACCCCAACGACTTGGTCACGAGTTTGCAATCTTTCAAAAACCGATGAAATTCGTCCAGTGACATGCTGCATGCGTCGCCGACGTCGCTCGCGGCATAATACTTGAAAATGCGCTGAACGTCTTCTACAATATCAACCTGATTCGAACGAGTTTCCTATCATTGTTTTGGTGGGGATTCTGGGCACCGTATTGGTCGGAAAAGAGGGTTTCCAACTTGGGCATTTCGCCGGCCACGTCCATGTCCAATATCCGGGCCAGCTTGACCATGTCCACCTTGGTGTACATCGCCCTCTCCCGCGCCTCCCGCCGGTTGGTCATCTGGAACGGCAGCCCCATCCGAGCCCGATGCAGCATCGTGTCGATCGCTTTCAAATGCACGCGCTTTTGCACGCATGTCCACAACTGCATGTTGGCTGCCCGCGCTGCACAAGCTACAGGATGTATAATATAAATATATATATATAGGGTTGACTATGTCGGTTCTGAATTGTACACGACGGTACCGTATTGCACCATTTGCACGGCGTTCTGAAGGGCCTCTTTCGCCATCGCCACGACACTCACGTGCGTCGTGTCGGGTTGAAAATGGTCGAGCTTTGTCACGTCGAATGGTGTCTCGAGCTCGGACCAGCCCTAAAAAGAATAGTATATATATATATATATAAACAATAATATATACCAGTATATACACTCATATACACAGCTTGAATTTGTTAGAGGTGTATTCTATACCTTGCGAACGCTGTCCCAAGCAGTTTTGGCATCTTGCAGGGACTGCAATGCTTCTTGCCATGGACACGCAGCAGGCACCATGCACGTGAATTCGCAGCACAGGTAGCTCAGCACGCAGTACATAATGTCCGCCGATGGATTCTACAAAATATTATATTGTCAAATCCGTTCCAATTTGGGCTTCCGAGTAGAATCGACAAATGCTCTTGAGTATATTGTAGCCAATCAATGTACACTAACGCGAAATTACATCCAATCATCGATTAGTTCAGTCAAAATGATGATCTTCAAATGTGTATCCCATACATTGAGTAAGTTTAAAAACTGACTCAAATCGATTCTCGAATCAGCTGCAAAGACCAAATTTCAGCGAAAAGGACAATATAATCAATTCACAGTAAATTGACACAACACCAACGAATGTCACCTCCGTACATCTAAGTGCAGCTCAAGGTGTTGGACGAGGTAGTCTGGGCATCGAAGGACGCGCAAGTAGTGCAGAACTTTGTCCGTGGTCCATTCCTTCACCATGTCGTCGTTATTGCTGTTCACATTGCTGTGCTGGTCCAGTGGCTGGGTGCGGTGGATCACCCGTAGAATTGACCCGAGTACATACATTCCCTGTAATGTCCACAGCATTCACGTCAACCTCCATCCCATCCCCTGACAAATACATTCCAGCACACCTTGAGGTCGGACGTGAAGTTCTGCACCCGGGAAAACTCGGCGTCCGAGCTGGCAGCGGCAGCGGCCGCAGCGCTCGCGGGGGAACTTTTGCTTGTCATCGGGGCTGCCTTTGCTTTGGTCCCAAGGCGGACGTCGTTGTAGACAAGGTGGCGGTGGAACATGCAGCTGGCCCACCGCAACACGATCACGTCTTCCGGGGCACGCAACAGCTCGAGCTTGTCCTCTCGGGGCCGTAGCATCATGGTGGGCTCGCAGTAGTCGCTGAGGTTGACGGTTGCGAGCATGTAGCTCAAGTACGTGAGCTCGGCATCCACTAGGGTGAGGCACAGCCGCCCCCATTCGTTGCACAGCGATTGCAGTTGCCGTTCTTGGCTGTGCCAGATCTCTTCCTTTACTACATACACATAGCATATGGTCGAGTAGTCATCGAAAGGGGGTGGTCGTACAGGCTGCAAACGTGTGGTGGAGACGCTCTTGGGTAGTCGTTTGAGTTTCGATCGACCCCTTCAAACTTGCAATGTCGTCGCGAAGCTGCATGATCGAACCTTCCAGTCGCAGCTGCGATTCTTTGCAGTCGCCGGCGTTGTCGGTGAGAGCCGACAGCCGCCGTCTGGCGGCGATTTGCTTTTCAGACACCACGGCCTGCCGCCACGCCCGCAGCAAGATCGTGCTGTGACTACACATATGACAATAAAACACACGAATCAAACGTCTCGTATAGCCAAGGCCTACCGCTTCTTCCACCGGGCCATGGCTTTTTGCATCGACATGCGCACTTTGTGCTTGGCTTGGGTCACGCGATTCCACGTTCGGAACGCCTACAGAACATCTGTCAAGCGGACGACATTGACTTTGAACTAGACCTCTCAACAAGCAGGGCTGTTTGTTATACCTGCAACAAGATCGTGCGAGCCCATCGTTGCGATGTGCGGTCGAGGACGTTTTCCTTGATGGCCAACTGCTCCATCATGAACTGATGTCGGTCGTCCAACGCGGCGCTACAGGTCACACAATCAATAATCCACAACATGCGGGCCGTGCTAACACACATGTCGTCGTCGACGGCTTGCTTGGCGCCTTGTTGTACGTGCAATTCTGCAAAGAATGGCTGCCTTACAAAGTAGTCGCTGGCTTTCAACGGCACCCGGGCGCCTCGGTGGTGTTGGTGGTTGTGCTGCGGGTCAACGTACACGCTGTTTTCGCATTCTCGAACGATCGTGCGGAGAAGTCCGTCGTACCGATTGAATTGCTGCCCCACCATGTCTATATATGGTCAAAGGTTTGTGACCAATGTATACAGAGGGGGGAGTAGATGTACCAAGTAGCTCAAAGCACACGGATGTGCGGAACCCGTTGGGGTCGCCTTGGTGCTCGGAAGACCGAACGGCGTGCTCCAACTGGGTTTGAAAGTACTCGGCTACAATCAAACTCATGTATATATATGACCCTAGCGGCATTCAGGTAAGTACCAAAGCGAGCGAAGTCTTTGTTCTCTCGCGAGACGCTGGCGACCCAGCCAGACACGTTGGGTGTCGTGGACGGTCGAGGCTGCTCCGGTCGACGGGGGTCAGATGATGGGCTGGCCCCTTTGCCAGACGTTGTTGGTCGACGAGGAGTGAACATATATTGTGCTTTATTATCCCCCGGCGACGTTTCAAGATCGAAGAAGTCAAATCATTTATCCGATACTAGTAGGTTATCTATTACTTCAAGTATTCTACAACTACAGTACGAACGTCCATCGAAGGATTCAACAGCAAGGAGGTCATCGAGTCATGAAGCATACTAGTAACGTTCAAACAGTGATCTTACCTGTGGTACACACATTGAAATTGGGCGATGAAAGAGGTTCAACAACCTACGTCGCAACCTGCGCCGGGTCATCAAGATTCAGTTTGAGAGAAAATGAAGGCACCAATCTAGGCACTCTGATTACAAATCAGACTCAGACGCTCATATGATCTCCGCATACTTTCCCGTTAGGTCCCGCACATTCATGACCCTGATATGAAACGTAAACGTCACAAAAGTACACAGGTCATTCTCGTTGAAACTTGTATTCCCCACACTTTGAGCTCGACACTGCCAGAGACAATGGGCTACAAAAGCCAAGCACCCCCCTCCATGTCATGCATCTGAGTTGTGGAATCCATTTCGGCCAGCTACGTCGAGTACTGCGGAGTAGTATCTTGGAACTCTAAACAGTATAGTAGTCGCTTGTGAGGTTGGTTGATCTGAGTACGTGGTGGTCGGAACATTGAAAGGACGGACTGAACCTTCAACCTCATTGTTTCATTTGCCTCACAAATATGATGAAGCTCTTGTTCGTCACACTGGCCGTGGCGGCCGCCGCGAACGACGGCACGTACTCGATCAAGTTTTTGTCCAACGTCGCTCAATCGTCATGCGAGCTCATCAAACCCCTGGGTTTGACGCAACTGCACCGCGGTATTCACGGCATTAACGACACCCTAGAAGAAGTCGCACCTCGCCAGAACAAGCAGTCTGTGGACGAGATCCGTCGGAACGACCTACTTGGATCACAACTGTTGATCGAAGTGTTTGGGGGGGGTGCCGACGCCGTCCAAGCTCGTGCCAACGTGCTATGTCCGAACGGTATGATCACTCGCAAGACGAAAAACCTTCGTGCAGATTCCGTCAGTGTGCGCGCCGCCACGATTCAAAAGATTGTCGACTCGGGGGACCCCAAGAATCGCATCGATGTGGTGTTTATGGGGGACGGGTACACTGCGTCGGAGCAAGCCAAGTTCTTCGGCGACATACAACGTTTGACCACGGACATGTTTACAGGCAACACGTTTGCCCAGTACTTGCCCCTGTTTAACATTTGGGCGTCGTATGTGCCATCGGTGCAGTCGGGGGTCGGCGTAGGGGGCACCCCCCTCAACACTGCATTTGGGTTGTACCGTGACGGCACGGAGCTCCGCGCTGTGTACACGTCCAAGCCGGACGTAGCTCGCAGCGTGTGCGCTCAAACAGGAGCATTGGCGTGCGATTTCCCAGCTCTGATCGCCAACGACGACTTTTACGGGGGCCTTGGGGGTGAGTTTGTAATTGCCACGCGGTCCCCAACCACGGGCACGATGGTATTGCGCCACGAGATGGGCCACAACTTTGGCAAAGTCGGAGAAGAGTACGACGGGGGGCAAGTATACTCGGGGGCCAACTCGGCGCGGACGGCCAAGGCCGTTCCGTGGAAGCACTGGCTCACAGAACCAACCAAACTCACCGAGCAAAAGTGGGCCCAATTGTATCAAAAGCACATTTGGCACGACCTCAAAACTGGCGCGTACACGATCGATTTCACGTCAAGTGGCACGTATAAGCGATGGTACATTGTTCTGTCCGTGTCTGGCACGGACACGCAGGACTCGCTGTCGGTGACGCTGGACGGCAAACCGCTGGTGTGGACAACCAAGGGTGTGAAGGACCGCACGTTTTACACGTGGAGCAGCAACACAGCGGGGTTCACGGCCGGCGCGCACAAGCTCGTGGTCAAGGCTGGCGGGGCGTTCACTGGCCCCATCATCAAGCAACTGTGCAATGCGCAAGTAGCAGAATATGCGAGCGAAGCAGAGTACCACCAAGACGGCGACTACATTGGCGTGTACCCTACGTACGACCTCAACAAGGCCAAGTCGTTTCGCCCCAACAGCGAAAAGTGCTTGATGCGAAACATGACGTCGGCCGAGTTTTGCAGCCCGTGCCAAGAGAACATGTGGCAGCAGTTCTTGACTCGGGTGTCGGTGATCGACAACGTCATCGTGACGGGCAAGAAGGTCGCGCTGAAGCTGATTCCACTAGCCCAGCTACGCCTCCCCACCGACTTGTTTGTCCAGGCCAACCCCAAGGTCGCCGCCGCCGAGAAGTACTCGACGCAGTGGTTCAACAACGGCAAGGAAGTGGTGCAGTTTCGAAACTTATTCAGTGTCGACACGTCCACGGTGGCAACCACGACCAACGCGTGGACGGTCTCGGTGCAGTTTTCGACCCCCAATGTCCGCCTTGACCCGAAAAACGTGCTGAAGGCGACCAAAGCATTCACCGTGCCTCGTTAAACCTGCCTTGTTTGGTTGTTGACAAGTAATCGTGCGTTCACGTCCTCAAACATTGGGATTCGTTTATGATTGTGCGCGGCATCCTTCGTTACCTGCTGTTCCACGCAGCCAGACTATTAATTACTACTGTAGTACTACTACTCCTGTAAGCTTAGTACGGAGTACTACGTAGTACTTCGAAGTAGAAATTAATACTAACGTTACTGGAGGGCGGGAAATGATCAACTTTACAATCCTCAAACGATACAGTATGGCAGTACGTTGTTCATCATCGCCATGCAACACGCTAGAATCAAATCGAGTTCAGCCCGAGGAAGAAAGCAGCGGTCACTACTTTTAATTGCCATTTTGAAGGATTGGCATCGTCCTCAATCGATTGCGCTGAGTTGGTTGACTCCACACAAAACGGTTGCATAACAAAGTCGACTTGCATCAAAATTCGACTCCTTCGTCTAGACAGACATACATTCATCCTCGCTTATGTCGCCGAGGATGGCTAGGTTGGTCATTTCCCGCAGCCTCCTGGCAGCGACCCCAAAAATTCATTTCTTGTCCAAATTTAATGTGAATATCACAAAAAACGAGAATCAAAAACTTCATTGGCAACAAAGCACCAAAACGAGATTTTCGTGGTAAAAATCGATGACGACTAACAGTAAGCACCACCAGATTTAATAAATAGTGTTAATATTTAAAGAAATCAGGGACTTGCCCCCCAAATTGGGATCGAGTAGTACTTCGAAGTACTTCGAAGGAATTACTCCGCAGTAGTATTTAGGAATGGAGTAGATTAATTCAACCAACCGGTTATATTGTATTGTTATAAACCCTCACATTTTTTTCAATGTGGGGGGTAGCGCGTGGCCTGAGTAGTCCATCGCGAGAGTGGTGAGGGTTATGGGGGAGCACTGGATGGTCGAAGTAACATCGACAAACCTTCGTGCGCACCACAATCGTAACGTTAGTATGGTATACGTCATCTATAAACTACCAACTTTTCACAAAATTTTCACGCTTGCTGGGGTATTTGTATTTGTGCGTGCTTTTATCGACCGACTAACATGAAAGTAGTGTTGCTGATCCGGAGCATGATTATTATGACAATGCATGTATCATGCGTAATACTGCAGCACTAGTATCACAGGCATGACATACTCTATCACGATGAATCCAGGACCAATTCCAGCCATTCTTCGACTGGTCCCACCACCGAGAGATGTACTCAGAGGTGGAACCAGCCACGTTCACGCAGACATGGACTCGCCATCTCTCGGACGTGCCGACGACATCACGTCGCTCTACCACTACATGCATGACCTGCACTGTCTCAGCCAATAATGGTCCAATTTCACTAATTCTTCGGCTGGTCCCACCGCTGAGTAATACCCTCAGAGGTGGGACTAGCCTCGTTCATGCTGACATGGGCTCGCCCCACCACTGGCGTGCTACACGACATGCAGCGGCCATCACTACAGCGACACGACCAGCTCTATCTCGACCAATTATGGTCCAATTTCACTCACTGGTCGAGGTAGATCAAGAACGTAGCTGAGGTGCAGATCTGCTTCCAACTGCCCTAGAACAATACCCTCTGCTGACCCGACACTCCGGCCAACGCGACTTCCCCCGGAACCCAGAATACTACCTCCAGCGGCTTAAGCATACTTATACCCTGGGGCCGACAAAAAAATGGTTTTCTTCAAGTAGTTAAGTCCGCTAGCTGCTAACGCAGCTAGTACGCGGCCGAGGCCATTAAGTGCCCACTGAGCGATTTTAACTTTACAGCGTAATATCAATATCACTATCAATACCCGCTGCCCTCGAACAATACCCGGTACGTACCGGTACAACATCAATGATATCTGCATGGTAGTAGAGTCCACTTGTAATAGTTGGACTCCACTACGACGACTGCATGACGCGAGTTGCGGGCGTGTGACAAGAAAAGCACTGCAATTAACCCTTCGTGAGGGACATCAGCATCAACCCTCGGGCCATATTCTGTTTGCACTCCTTCTACTTCGCATGAGATCCACTACGGTGCGCGCACCGTAGTCCGATGGGCTCATCATGTACAGTACGGGTTGCACTGTACATGTTGAGTCCATCGGACCATAGCGCATGCAACCATCGAGCGTGTCTCAGCGGTAGCCCAGTGGATTTCGTTCGTGTTGAGCCACCCGTTGTCCATAACAACGCTGACATTGATGATTTCGTAGGTACAGTATGCAACGTTGTCGATGGAGCTGACGACAGCACCCTAAACAGCGGATCACTTCCAGCGCGTGTACCCCTGAACGTATTCACGCTCCATTTGTTGGTGGCCCTAGTGCTGCACGTTGGACCAATGCTTGCGCCACT